CTTCCTGCCTTTCTACTGCTTACAGCAGTACTTTCACTAGTTGAATACTTTGCTTCCACAACCTACCTCTTTGGTCACAACCTAACCTTTTGAGTTGCTTAGATTGGCTAGCTTATTGTCAGTCAATATTGACTGTAGTTGAGAAGATATATTATTGGTAATATATACTTGTATTTGCTTTTTTAAATATTTAAAAAGCAGTTGTTTCATATCAATATTGCCAAATAAATCAACTCTGTTAGGTTGTTCAAAGTCTATTAGGTTATCTTTTTAACTACCCTAGCTGCTGCCTTGGCTTTAAGGTAGAGTAGGTGGATTTTCTTGGCTAGTAAAAACTAGCGCTACCACAGTTGATTTTTTGTAAAGGTTGAAGGTGTTTTCTTCCTTTTTTTGGAAAGCAGAATTTCTGTATACTAAAGGGTCTTGATTTGAAGGAATAGGTAGAAGCACCTAGTAGTATTGTAAGTAGCCACTTTACAGTAGTTACACCAAGCCTCTTTTGTAGACTTCCACACAGCTTTTTTAAATCCTTGATTAGATCTATTTTTCTAACTACCTTTATAAGGTTTATTAACCTTGTAAGGTAATTTTGGCTACCTTACTGCTATTACTTTAGTAGTAAATCCTTTGTTGTCTGCTAATTTGTATGATTTATCAAGCAAACTATTACACAACGTAGTTAAAGTGTAAGCTTTAATGTCTTTACATAAAGCTTGCATGATATTTGCCACAAATCCTTTGTATCAATCAGTCAAGGCATTTAAAATCCAACTAAAAATACACTTATCATTAAATTTCCACCCCTTTTGGTATAATTTAGTCACCAGCTCTTTAGCTTTGGTAATAAATGCGTCTATACTGGCAAAATCTGCTAGTTAAATTTGCAAAAATTCCTTAAATAACAAATGGTTGGTAGTAAAACCTTCTAGCTTATAAGCTTACTGCAAGGTATCCTATACAGCTTTAGCTTTTTTCAAATGCTTGATATGTTTAAGTAATTCTTTTCCACACAAAAGCTTCAAAAGTCCTACAGCTTGTTTGTTTTCTTTAGCAGTAGGGACTTTAAAGTCACCTCCTTCCTCAGAATCAGAGGTTTTATACAGGCAGTAATCTAGATCTTTCATTTCCAAAGCAACTAGCACATAAATCGACCAAGTAAGGTAGTTGGCTACGCTAGTAAGAAAAGGAATAGTGATTTTGCTGTCTATTTTAAGTAAAAAATCAAGTAAAATAGAAGAAATTAGGTGGAGAATTTAGTTAGAAAGACAAGATTGTATAGTAAAAAGGATGATTTTTATGTCTTGTGAGTGAATTAGTCACTTTAGAAGGAAATGGAAAATACCATGTGAAAAAAGATAGAGTTATTAGTAGAAATCACGTGACAAGAAAGAAACCAAACTAGTAGTTGCCTTAATAAGCAAGGTTTGAAGTTAGAAGATGTATAGGTTGACTAGTTGAAAAAGATTAAGCAATCTAGGCTTATAACCTCAAAAGGTTAGGTTGTAACTAAAAAGGTAGGTTATAGAAGCAAAGTATTTAGCTAGTAAAAGTACTGCTATAAGCAGTAGAAAGGCAGAAAGTAAGGTAGGCAAGTAAGGTGCAGAAGACTGGTTGTATTGTGTGGATGATGATGATTTTTTCACCAAAGTCAAGCGGCTATTCTAGCTGACTATATAGTAGAAATTTAGTCTTCTTGCTTTACTTGATCTACTAGATCAAACAACTTGATACCTCGGATTGGCTGATTAGACTAGGTCTGTAGGATCTGATTGTTTGAATCAGTAGTAATATGTAGATTACACACGTATCAAGTGGTTTGACAGGGTTTGATGGTTTTAGGTGGTTTGATTTTCTGCACCTACCCTGTACTTGCAAGGCTACCCTGGACTTGCAGGGCTACCCTGGATTTGCCGGGCTATCTTGGACTTGCAGGGCTACCCTGTCCTTAAGGTTCGGGTTGCCTTTGGCAGGAAAGTCCTTTGGACTTCAAATGCCAATTATAAGGTAAGGATCAATCATGTGACTTAGCTACTTTGTAGGCCTATAAATAAGTCATATGTGATGCTTAATCAGCAAACCGCTTGGTCATCACTATTGTGGTTACCTTAATATATAGGTTTGAAGTTAGATTATCAAGTAATCTTTATAAGTAATCTTTATAAATCTACTAGATTAAACAACTTAATACCTTGGATTAGCTAATCAGACTAGGTTTGTAAAATCTAATTGTTTAAAGTAGTAGTAATACATAAATTACACACTTACAGGGTAGTAATACGTATCAAGTAGTTTGGCATGGTTTAAAGGTTTTAGGTAGTTTGATTTTCTACGCTTATCTTGTATTTGCAAGGCTACCCTAGACTTGCAAGGCCACCCTATCCTTAGGGTTAAGGTTGTCTTTGACAGGAAAGTCTTTTTGAGTTTAAATGCAAATTATAAGGTAAGGAGTTATCACATGACTTAGCTACTCAACTGCCGAAACAGATAGCGAGCTATGTATTTGTCCCGGCAGTCGTCGTCAGACACGACGGCATCGTTGTGCTAGAAGGCAAGATGAGCCATGTGCAGATCTGCCAGTGACGTGTAGAATTCGCGCGAGGCTGCAAACGTGGTCTCCTCAGGCGGGAGCACAGAAGTCGGGCATCCACCTGTAGTTACAACCTCGAGGTGGTTTTGGAGTAGGGGGCGAGTACCAACAGCCCAGGAGTCACCGCCGCCGTCAGTACACACAAGAGACCCAATGCGTGACATCTTCAAAGCGTAGAGCTGGAGAACAATGTTGGGCATCGGTCTGTATAGCTCTTCTAGCTTTTCGTCTGACAAACTAGTGTTAAGAACATATGACTCGCCAGGTTTAGTGAAGGGGTCTCTCATGGCCTCTGACAGGGTGTCTGTGTTTGAAAAGTAGTCCATGATGATAAATGGCCCCAATCCAGTGGGATTCTCAGAAGCAAGCTCCCAGTGGTAGACATGTGGCACGGGTATTGTCGTATTCTGCGCAATATAGCGCATGGTATTGACCTCGGTACGGGTCTTCTCGTCGGAAAATGCGTTTCTGCCTGGGAGGGGGACGCGCATGGCAGCCCAGCCGGTATCTAATTCGAGTGCAAAGCAGCAGTTGTAGCTGCCACGCGCAGGCGGGTGCCATTGCACAGCGTTGCCCCCGGTATTTGACGATCATGTCGATGATGCTCTCCTTGACTCCAGGTTCATATACGCTGTTGACAAAAGCCGCAACAGCTTCGTCGCCGCACTGCCAGGCCAAGTCATCTGGGTACATGCCATAGTCACGGTCTCGCTTGGTGTGGTCTTGGTTGTCAGGAACCTTGCTCATTGTGTGTGACAAGCACCCAAAGGTGACTGTGAGAGACACAAGAACTGATGAAAGAGAGAACGGGATTTCGATGAGAACAAGCTGACCGCGAATTTGTGGACTTGACAATCATACGGGAGAGGATGGTCGCGCATGTGAGGGGTGGGTTTCAGCTGGGCATGGCGGGCGCCACTGCTGATCAGGCTGAGTTTACCTAGTATTGCTTATTTTCGCCGCAGAGTCGCATTCTCTTCTCATTTGTCCACAATTCGCAGTTTGGTTACCGACACTGTTCTCCTGAATATGAAGAACGGTCCTTTCCTATCATCACGACAATGGAAATAACGGCAAAGCAAGACTGAAAGCTCCATGCTAAGCCCCTTACGGCCAGAGCCGCCGGTCCGGATATTGGTCCAAAGCTTGACCCATTTGGAACGGATTCCATGTTGAACCGCATATGCCAGCACCACTGGAATTGCGATTTTGACAGGCCGAAATTCCGCTGGGCCTTATATAATTAATGATCAATTTGCCTTCAACAGTTGACGTTGCTTCTTCCTAGTTTACTATGGCGAATCTGGAATGATGACGGTGTGCCTGTTCTGCCCTATGAGTGGACGGGAGAGTCTCTCTCTGTAAGGCTCTGTTCAACCCGATGACCTTAATGTCAAGCTAACACCAGCCGCACAGAAAACCACTGCCACAGCTAGCCAAGGATTCAGAGATCCAGGCCAAGCTTAAAAAATACGTTCCTTTTACCCGACAACCATCGAAACGCGAGAAGCCTCCGATTCGCAAGCTTGTAAAATCAAGACTTTATTGTGACGAGTATTCCGATCTCCGAGATAGATTATATGAGGGAGAATCTGGAGGATATGGAGTGGCTTAAGGCTTATGTCTGGCCTAGAATCTGGCGGAAATTTGAGGCTGAGGTTAATGCCAACAAACCTCCTGGTGCTCTAGACATTGAAGAATAGCCGTTCTTCTATTTCTTTGTCAGCTGGGCATGCGTTGCCCGCCGCTAAATCTGTCAGCGAGGAACAGCAGAGCAGTGGGACCCCAGCTGCACCAGTTAATGATAGATTGATACAGAAAATCAGAGGCAACCGTATCCAACCTGTCAAAACGTAAGCATACCGAGGCTGCGAACAAACTTCCAGTTGCCCGTCCAGAGAGCTACCGCATCGAACCATCTGATCCGGGCGAAAGTTCTCGTGTTTCGTCACCACTTGGCCACAGCCTATGAAGGTCAGAAGGCGACGGAGAAAGAGCAAGCGGCTGTCGCACTACTGACAAAAAGAAACCGTCTAGGCGTCGTTTCTTACGCCAGCCTAAAGGAGAAGAGAGGCTTCAGAGACTAACAAGAAAGCGACAAATGGAGTTCAAGCGTGATTGATCGCTTGATGGGTTGACTGCAGAGCTATACGAAGATGTTGATTACGCGAATCTGAATGCGAAGGACCGTAGAAGAAGTAAATGCCGAGTACTGGCTCCGTATTAGACAGCCTCTCGAGAGAATGTAGAGAACAGGAGGCAGAAATGGAAGACGAGGGGGCCATGAGTTAACCACTACTATCGGTCACAGGGCTGGGTGGTTCCATGTGGCAAGCAGCGCGCAGGGGTACACAGTACTTGACAAGGTATTGGATGTGCCTCCATGGTAAGTCTCAAGCTACTTAGATGCGCTGTCTTGATGGCCCCGAAACTAGACTTGTGCGGCCAGACGTGGGCAAACCAACCCAGATAATGGGATGGTACATAGTGTACTAGCCCAAACATCGGGGCGGTATAAAGTGTACCAAATAATGGGATAGTACGTAGGGTACTAGTCTAGGTCTTGGATTTGTGTGTCCGGAAACTATTCCGCATGAGAAAGGCGAGATTTAGTGTGCCTCCAAAGAGTCACCGACGCCTCATCGATCTCTGGGTTTAGAATTCCATGATCTTATGCCCCTTTTATCTGCAGCCGTCTTGCATACAGCCATATTGATCCACCGAGGGGACGTTCTGAGACGGCTCAAGCCCTTCTTTATCTTTTCGCATAACCTAACAAGGATTCTACCGTTTGTAATAGAACTGCGCTAGCCATACTGATTACATGGCTAGGCACTGGGATCTGTCTCTGGAACTATCGAAGCCTTGGAGCTGATTCTCTGTATCTTTGATAACATCAGATAGCAGCGCTTGAGGCACCAGGTACGACGAGAAAGTCGTACTTCAGGAAACGCCGTAGCTAGATTTGTTTCTTCGACATCGTCGTCAACGAGCAAGGCAGACTTGACCAGAGCCAAGCAGACGGGAAGCAAGGAATTCATCGTGTAATAAAATAAAACGAATTTCCACCTCAAGGACTAAAATGACGACAAGCAGCTCGGATACCTTCCGCTTTTGCCTGTCATAGTATATTTTGAGCCATGCCAAAGAGTTTGATGTCCAAATGGCTGGTGAATTGGCTGCCTTGCCCGGACGGCATCCTTCAGCCAGCGTGGCAAGCACATATCATTTACGACGGCTATAGTATGTAAATTTTCAGGTGATTAGGGTCTAAACTGACAGCCATTGGGTCATCCGGGCATGAAAGCATACCGCACTACGGACATTGCTGCCTGGAGAAAGACTCGTAAACAGAGGTAACAAAACAGGGTACTTGTCATGACGACGATGGCGAGAGGATCTGCAAATCTTCTTGAGTTCAAGAGAGGCAGCCATTCATGACCCTAAGGTCCTTGGCGCGTCACGTCGAACAGTCTGCCATCTTGGTCTCAGCTCTGCAGCTCGCCCTTTGGTCCCATCGCCCTCTTCTCTAAACACGGCTCCTCCGCAACGCCACCCTGCATGAGGCTCCCAAGAAGCCGCACACGCGAGGCACTCCGGGGACCTCATGGAGCTCAAGAGGCCTCCATGCTATGCCGATGGAGGACATCACAAGCAGAGTCGTCGTAAGGAGACACGCGTGGTTGAGAGGTCTTCTCGGCCTAGAATATCGGGGACGGCATTTCAGCAATTGTCTGCCAGTCTAGAAGTCAACAGACCCCGTGTTTCTGGAGCCCCCCGAGGCAGCGACAGAGCCGCAGAGTCTTCACACTCCAGATGTTGGTAATCTCCCCGTCAGAACCGACATATTCGGTAATGGCTAGATTCCAGTTCTTCAAGATGCATGGATCCATCCCCAAAGCCTATCTTCTCGTGTGATACGCGGTGATGGCCCTCTACAAGATAGAGGCTGGCGTGATCTACTCGATATCCGTTCTTCAGGCTCTTCCGTTCCCCGTCGGTGTCGTTCTCGTCGCCTCCCTCTTCGCATGCCGTACAAAAGACCTCTTGTTGGGTTATGATCTATGCTTGACTCCCCCTCTAATTACTTCCAACCCTACACACAGCTAGGATTCTTCGACGAGAAGTTCCTGCTTCTCAACAAGATATAAGGACCCGCCACCCAGCACATTCTGGAACCTATCCGGGATTTTGCCTCTGTCCAAAGATGATTCCGACGCCGGGCCTGGTAACTACCACATTTCTGCCGTCAACGCCACGGGTTCTATCCTGTCTGCCCAGATTCCCATTGGCTACTGGCTGCAGAGCAAGATCGAGGGCAATCTGCTCTTCGTTGCGCATCTGAGCGCCTATCTGCCCACAAGGCACGCCGGTACAGTGCCAGAAAGTCGGCTCTCACAGCCTTCACGTAGAGTCTGGCACAAATGGGGTCCCGGCCTAACGTTTGGGTCGCAGCCATAAACCCGGCCACTACCTTCACGCCTGCTGTTGTTTTGGAATGAGCAAGAGGAAGGTTCGAGAGGCCGACGTGAATATGACGGCGGTTGAGTCGCTCAAGGTAATATTGCGCATGGCAACAGAGGCCAAGTACGGCGATGGGCAGGCGGTTCAGGCCATGCATCTCGGCACCAGTGAGGTCAGATGCGGGGGCGCACGTTGAGTCATACCAGACTCTGTTGCCGGACATCGACTTTGATGCTAGGTTCAGCCGCAAGAATATCTTGGCTGAGGAGGAGAGGTTGTAACACCAGCTGAAGGTCAAGAGCATGGGACTTTGACGGCCGATGTTTATCAATAATGATTGTGTCCAGTCGTAAGTATACAGGGGTTGGGTCCAGTTCTCGTTATGCGGGGACCTACTTTCAGACAATGTTGAAAACCAACGATGAATTTGACAGACCTTGATAATCCACATTGCAATGATAAAAGCGAGGACTAATTACAACTTCTAGTCACTTACACCTCTTTTAGCATCCAGACTCTTCTTCCCCCTCTGTTATTTCCGTGCGAAGGCCGCGCAGCTTGTCCTAAACCTCGTCTTGCCCTCAGCAGCAGGAAGGGCGTTTAGGGGCAAGAAGCCAGTCTCGAAACGTTGCGACTATCAAAAATCGTGCAACTGGGAAATCAAGAGTGGGATGGGTAAATAAGTGGCGAGTTATGATATACCAATAGTCCGGGCTGTCGCTCCTGAACTCCGGGGTCGGGTGCGTTGCCCCGCGAACGGAGCAAAAGGGGCCGCTTCTCCGCACCGTGGCTGACCAAGGTGTCACCTGCAGCTACTGGGTTAAGCTCGGCCTATTGTTCAGCCGGTTGCGATAGTTACTGATACTGGCTTATCATCCCCCCCCCGGGGCGAAACCGTCGTGAGTCGTCGCGAAGAGTCTCCTGTTTGCACTTGACTTGAGACATAATCCAGAATCCCCAAGCATGGCCCAAGAGCTCAAGATATCTTGCCTCTGTGGCGGTCGTAGTCAACAGGTATTCCTTAAGGATGATGGCAACAGGGCCCAAGGAAGCTCGGATTGGGCACTCTGCCACTGCGACTCCTGTCGATACGTCACTGGCCTTCTATGCACATCATATGCGCCGATAGGGGTGCCGAGCTCGTTGGAAGGACTCGTGTCGTACTCGCCCTCCCCCGGATCGACTCGGTATTTCTGCGCAACATGCGGATGCCACTTATTTCGTTCCACAATACGCGCCGCTAGCGACATGGCGGTGTCCGCGCAGAGGGAACGGGACTGGGAGGTTACCACCGGAGCCATAGTGGAATCTCCAGGGGGGGAAACCGATCCGGCAGCGTCGTCTGACTCGGAATCATGCTTCAAGCACCTCAACGTCGCGGACACCAGGGACGGAGGTATATCTGTCTGGGTCAACGACTCCGCGCCGAATGTTGAATCGGGGGGTTCGTCCAAGACCGCTGATGAGCCCAAGCCTGCCCCCGTCGTGGCAGCGCCGGATGACGATGGCGTCTTGAACGGGGCCTGCCACTGTGGCACCGTCCGTTTCCATATAACCCGTCCCGATGACAATAGCAAGCTTCCCAAGTCGAATTTTGCGGATCTCATAACTCCATACTGCCGAAGCGACCAGGAAGCCATCACAAACCCCTCGGACACGAAGTGGTGGCTTCGAGATGGAAATACCAAGTACCTTGCAGGAACATGTGCTTGCCGATCCTGCCGGCTTGCCTCTGGTTTCGAGATCCAGACCTGGGCCTTTGTCCCGCGATCTAACATTTATTTCCGTACGCATCAGCATCGGCATCCTGATGAAGAGACTGTCCGGCAATTGGACTTCGGCACTCTACCGGGAGGGATCCTCAAAAGCTACACTTCTTCTCCCGGTATTGTCCGCGAGTTTTGCACCCACTGTGGTGCCACGGTCTTTTGGCACGATAAATGGCGGCCGGAGCTCATTGATGTCAGCGTCGGACTCCTGCGAGCACCGGAAGGTGCCAGAGCCAGTACTTGGCTCGATTGGTGGACAGGGAGGGTCAGTTTCGCTGAGGACACAGTACTGCAACGGACAGGAGCGGCGGCACAAAGGGCGCAGGAGCTGATATGGCGCCTCGAAGCTGGCCTGAGAGATTGGGGACGGAGGTCGTGAAGCCTATCTTGGTTTTGAGACCTTTTCTTCTTTTCTCCTGCCTACTGAACAAGGTATCTGGCCGGGCACTGGGCTCGAGGAATTCACCCCTTGATCGAGAACTCAATATACAGGCCCACCAATGCATAGTGGATGCCAATAAAAAAAAAAAACACAAGTTCTGCAATATGCCACCCATGCAGAAACGGACTGTCTCGTCATAGGAGAGGCGCCGCCAAAGACCATCCTGGTAATATCCATCCTCGCGGGGGCGCAAACCTTCTGTTGCGGCCGCATAAGAAGCCCATCCCAAGGCATTCCGGGGCGGAGATTCATCGCCCACGATACCTGCTGGATGAGTGAAGATTGCCACCTGCATAGCGTCACTGATATGAGCAACCTTTCAATCCGTATCACCGCTCGGGAGATTCTTCTGGAGTGGCAGGCTCCGGGGTGGCAAGCTCCGGGGTGGTAGAAAGAGAACCTGCTTTTATCATCGGCCCCCCTGCATGGCCATCTCGCTCCATCATGACAGCCAAACGGGCGGCTCGGCCTTCCTTCTTTCGTGGAATAGGTGCTGGGAAAAAAGAGTTAGTGGGCGGGCATAACGCAGATTTGCTGGTCGAACTGATCGGCAAAGTACACGATCACACGCTCTGGCATGCAACGCCGGTGCTTCCACTGTTACTTACCCCTGTTGTTCTCCTGCACATAAAACTGCCTCAGCAAGGTGACAGCCTCGTCACGACCCCAGCCACCCTCGACCTCGTATCCGGGTTCGACGTTACCTCCATCTCCTTCGGCGGCTGGCCGTTCACTTAGTACCTTCGTGGTGTTGCCGTTGGTACCCTTGGCATCACCGTATAAACCATTCCCGCCGGCGATGGCATGCAATGGTGTTGGCTGATTCTCCAGGGTCGGTCCGAAATCCTGCCTCTCATCTTGCCTCGTAAAAGGTGGCGTGCCGGAAGCATTGGAGTTGATGGGGGTCGAGTTCAGATGAATGCGGAAGACACCGCCGGTGCCACCAAACTTATCGTTGACGGCGCCGAAGTAGACTTTCTTGATGCGAAGTTGTCGAAGCAGGGAGGCACACATAACACAGGGCTCAACCGTGACGTAGAGGGTACACTCAGAGAATATGGTCCGATCCACTCGAGGCGAGGGGTGGAGCTTTTGCCCATACGGGTAAATATGGCCATCCTTGGGGTCAACATCGCCCCAAGCACCACGAGTGACTTTTGGTTTATTGGTTTTGTCGGCCAAAGGCTGCTTCGATGGGTAGTCTGTCGTTCTGGGCTTCATTTCTGCTCCGGGAGCGTAAGACAGAAGCGCGGAAATGGCCATGAGCTCGGCATGTCGAGTTCCGTTTCTGGTGACGTTGGTCGCATTCATGCCCCTAGCAACAACTCGTCCCTGATAAACAAATACGCAGCCCACAGGGGTCTCGTTGGTCCGTAATGCCAGCCTAGCCTTTGAGCCGTCATGTTAGTCTTTTCGATCTTGGGGCGACTGTGGATCAAGCCAAAATGCCAGGCCGGCCTGCAATGCGCCATGTGCTCTTCCCTCGGGCTGCGTGGCCAAGTAGGAGGCCAGGACACCGGGAACTATCACGCAAGTATCAGGGCGCTCAGGAAACACGGCTGCAAACCAACCCCTCCTCGTTCTCGCGAAGGCCAGATATCGGAGGAGGGGTTCGAAGAGGGGTTGGGTGGGACATGGATCGCTAGGCTAGATAGAAAGTAGAGGACGAATGACATACCATATCGAGAGCCTCGCGCATGAACGCAGCATGAACAGCATTCTCGCCAGTCATCACACCATCGACTGGGATGCTAGGTTTCGGCATCCCTGGCTGAGGGGTAGTGGTGAGCTCCAGCCGAGCCATGGCATCGACAACGCGAGTCTCCGGCTCTTGCTGCGACAGCATCGAACCGGGCTTCCGCTTGGGCTGCTTCGAGGAGGGGTCATTCTCTTTTGTCGCAGGCCGAGGAGGAAGCAAGGGTAGAGCTGGCACGATCTTGAGATTCGAGGGTTTATTTGGTGGATTAGGCGCCGCCATCTCGTCAGTCTCGCGCGGTTCGCCGGGACCGGTGGTTGAAGGAGTCGGGCTGGTTTGTTTATTACCAGAGAGGGTGTTGATGGCCCGGTGGAGTGTGTCGAGGAAAAGTAGGATGAGAGACTGGAAGAAGGCCGAGATTTTGTGGCCAGCAGTCGTGGCCGACTCTGCCAGAGGAGGAATGGCCGCCATTTTGCAGGAAAGGCAAGGCAGCTACGGTCCTCTCAAGAAGGTAGGTACCTTCCAAGGAAGGTACGTGCAGTTTCCAGATACTGACTTGACCGGGCAACTGAAAAAAAGAAAAAAAAGAAGGTGCGATGAGGGTGAATTAGACAGCTGAGGATTGAGAGGGAAGTGACGATAGCGTAAGAAGAGGCAATGGCAATACTGCCCGTGTTGACAAAGGAGTCACAGGGCCGTGACTTCTCTTCCCAGACTCCAAAAGCTCCTTATTCGGGTCTTTGCGTCTAACAAGCTGCAGCTTGAGTGTAACCTCTCCTTCCCCTCGGGAACCAGCGTTACCTTGTCCCCCAAAGAGTGTGAGAGAGAGACAAGGGTACGCAGGAAAACATGGAAGTTGGCCTCTTTTTGTCACTTGGAAAATGTAGAGGTAGCAGCATGGCAAAGGACATTAGTGAAGGAGGATATTTAGACTCGGGGTGAGGTGAGAGAGGGTTAAAAATGAAAGGCAAACAGAAACCCGTCCCTACCTATCATTCGCACACCAAAAAAAACTTGAGCCAGAAGACAGGAAGGGAAATTTCATTGGTGGAGAACAAAGACAGTGCCTCGATATCTGCATTTACCTCAAACTACCGCTGTAAGAACCCATTTTATGCATATGTAGAAACATTGTCTCCAGCGCCCTGGGTCTGCTTAATTGCATATATGGGTAGGTATCTTTGGGAGGCAAGCTGGAACGGGTCTACCTTGGACTAAAGCCACAGGTTAGTGGCCAAGATGATGTAGTTAATGGAGTACGATTTCACCAGATCACGACAGTCAAATGCGAGGCACGGTTTTTACGCTGGCCACCAAGGATTTGTATTCCCGATCAGATACCTAGCAGGATCCAAACCAGATCAAACCCAACTACCTCCATGGGCAACCCTAGGCGTTGCCCAGGCAATTCCTTGCTGGCCAACCAGCTCATCCCCCTCGCCGCTACATCGCCGAACAAACGGCGCTCCCAAGCGTATCACACCTAGTACACGTACATACAACAGCTGAGAGAGGATGACAACATGTCTCTTGAACAAGTTTGGGTATCTCAAGGAAATAGACTCGCGTTCGAAAATAAACCATCAGCGAGGTGCGCTTCAATTGCCCGCAATTGCAGTAACCGGTCACGCTCTCGGATTTAGAACCCTGCCGACTGGATGGAGCCAAGCTGAGCCAATTGCTTCACCAACTGCTTCGTAGAGGCAGATTGGAAACGCCGGAGAGGGATCAACACCTTCTGGATTTTCGGTTCGACAATGCGACTCGCGTTGACGATCGTTGAGCGGTTGTTGGCAGGGCCACACAGCCGCTGTGCAGTGGAGTTGGGTTGCCGGGAATCGCAGGCGAGTAAGATGGCGCCTCCCAGGGCAATGGCGACGAGGAAGTTGGACCAGCGGCCCAAATTTTGCGAGTCAGTATCAGATACCTTTAGACAACAGACAAGACCAGATATGAGGACATGGCAGAACGAGATGGACATCAGCAGACCGCTCGAAAGAGGTTTGCTGACGGCCTGTGTTGCTCTGGTAAGAACATGTCGCATCAGCTGGTAGAGGAGAGCAAGAGCCACCACGAGGCCGCTCAGCAGTGGGCACGAGTAGTCCATAAGAGACTCTCCCGCAGTGGGTTCCAGCCCGAATCGGACGGCATCCGAGGCGTCATGGAGATGGTAGTTGTCGGTCAGAGATCCGCGTGACGCCTGGTGGGCCAACACGGAACCAGCACCGGAAACTGCTAATGAAGTGCCATGGCGTGAGGGAACATTCGTCCCACGTGAAGGCGATTGTCCCGAAACGGGGGATCCTTCTGTGGGAGGAGTTGGATGCGACCAAGCTGTGTGCTGTCCTGCCAGGTTGTGATGGTGACGGTTTCCGGGGACTCCAAGGCCATTCCCGCTGGCTGTATTTGCGGACGTTGACGCCGGTGTGCACCGGAGTATCCTCAACGGTGCCTGTGTTTCCATTCTCGGACGGTTTGTACTGTCTCGGATTGAACTGTGGACACCATGAACACGGACAACAGTGTTGTTCATGCCCTCACTGGAGCGTGGCGAACTGTTCCCGGGTAGCGGAGGTGGAGGAACCAGGATCGGTGACGGCCACGGTGCAGTGGCAGAGTATTGTTGGACGACAGGACTCGTAGATTGGGCGCCGGCGAAGAGTTGTTCAGAAGCATGGCCAATGGGGCAGTCCACGGCCGCGCGGACACCCGAGCCGATCCTGAGGCTTGCATCGTCTGGTGATAGCTGTGGTCGAGTCTGACCGAGGGAAGGAACTACTCCGTGTTGTTCTCTGCCCATACGCTGGTCCGTTGAGGCGGGTGCAGAGCGATCATGAACCGAGCAAGGCAGGTGGGACGACCGGGATAGGCCGTGATCTAGCCTCAGTCGTCCCACTTGCAGTGACGCGTCCCCGGGAACAGGGTCATGCAGGCTGGTCGTCCCAGGATTCGGTTCCATCTCACCACATGATGCCAGGGAATAACTGGGCCCATCTTGGCCTCTTGCCCCAGTCTGTGGTTTCCTCATCGGTTGGAGCTCTTCGTCCAAGAAATCAGAAACAGGCGAATAGAGGTTGAAGTCGACATAGCTGGATCCGTGGCCATCAGGGTTGAGATACGGCAGAGTGGGCTCCAGGCTCGGCGACCCGGGAGGTAGCCCACAGGCCGCCGCCGATGGAATAAGGGTGGAGGGTGTGAATAGTTGTGACGGGGAAGTCGAAGACGACCCGCTGCTGGAAGAAAGATGGCCAGCAGGATCGGAGAAGAAGTCGTAATTGTCAGAGAACAAGGGCGTCTCTTGACCGAAGCAGACGAATTGCTCCCAGAGATCGTCGGCCGGGTCGGCAAAGCTCTGCAAGGCAAGATCTGCAGAGGCGAGATCGAGCTCTAAGCTTGGATCCGCAACAAGTAAGCTCAAGCCGGCAGATCCAAAGTCCACCAACGGCTTGTCGTGGACAGTGACCTTTGCCTTCTTTGCCGGCCTCGACACTGGCTGAGAAGGCTGGGCCTGGGATGCGTTCCGCTTCTTGTGGCTGGGGTCGCAGCGAATCTTCTTCCGCCGGCAGGAGTCACACGCCTTGATGATGCGCATGAGGTGTGCGTGATCCCGCTGCTCCTTGGTCTTGCAGCCTCTGGATGCCGAGTTGGTGACATCGCGACCATCCTTGGTCATGATTCGCATGCCAGGGAGGCTGGAGAAGTCGGCTTGCTGGGAGCTGGGGACAGCGGACTTCTTCTTAGGGGACGATCGTGAATTTGTCCGCGGCTGGGACGTAGTCGGGGCAGGTGTGAAAGAGAGCGGGTAGACCCAAGGGCTCATGTCGGAGACAGCAACTGGGGAGAGATTGAAGCTGGACCCGTAACCAGAATCGTGCATTGCACTGGAGCTGGCGGGGGAAGGAGCGGTAGTGGAGCTGTGAGAGTCGGCGAGGACAGGATAGAATTTGAACTTCTCGCCGGTCTGCCGCGAGTACTCAAAGAAATCCATCGAGATGTGGGCCCGCTTGTCCTGGATCGAACACGAGCCGGGGAAGAAAGCATTGATCATGTTGTCAAGCTCCTTGGAGCCGAGAGCCGGGAGCCATTGCAGAGTAGCTCCGAGCGTGGGCTGGAAGACAGAGAAGCCCTGGAGGAGGGAGGTGGTGGAATTGTTTCGAGACATTTCCGCCAGTTCTCACACAGCGTGGTCAGGGGGAATCAGTGTTATGGGTTTGAATGAGGGCTTGGCCAATATATCACGGGAGCCCCGTTGGCTGAGTCGTGCCAGTTCCGCTTTTGAGGCAGAAGAAAGGATGAACGAGGCCGGCCGTGTGCCAATTGAAGCCGGAATCGAGAAGCTGTGTAGGTTTTGGTGGTTTAAAGGTGGACAATGGCAGTCAGACAGATGCACAGAGGAACAGGCAAAAAGCCAAAAAGCCAGAAACGGCCGGTATGATTGATTCCTCAAACAGATCGACTGGTGCAATACCTTCTTCAAGGTCCTCTGCTTGGATAGGCGGGGGAGAAGGGACGGTAAGAGAAGAGAGAGAGAGAGAGAGAGAGAGAGGTAAACAGGTCGCCCGCTGGATGGGAGTCACGACTGGATATTTCATTACCTCAAAGGTTGGCTCGAGAAATGGGTGGTGCCGCGAAGGTTGGCCGATGCACTTCGGCGAGGCGTTTTTGGTTTAGCTCGAGGCGCAGACCTCGATGTTGCAATGACAGAAGGGAGGGGTGTTTTCTGTGAGATCCACCGCTAATCCGGCCTTGGATACGCCAAACCTACAGAAATACCCCGCAATGCTTGTGTAAAATACGGCGGAGACGCAGCCCTGGGATGGCTTGCATGGCTGCAGCGACGGCGAAGGAAGCGATCCATTCAAAGTCCACTGGCCCCACTTCTCCTGCTGCCTCTGACGGCCTCCAAATTCATTGCGTGGGACACATTATTGGAAGAAACTTGCAGATCCTCCAGGAATGAGTCATCCATTGAATTGTCAATCTCTTCTAGACTCCGGAACATGCATGAGAATTACAAGGTACCTGCCTGTCATGCATACCCGACCCACCAACGACGAGGTTCTTTGCGAGGCTGAGCTTCTGCCTGGTACTTTGATTTGATGGAAATTTAACAATGGATAAGTCGGGCAGGTACCGTAAATTATGCATGTGCACCGAATTGCGCGACGGTGGTGCCCAGTTGATGGTGGAGTGGAGGCGAGGCGCCGTCAGGAAAGTATATGTATGGTCTTGCGCCCATGTCGACGGCAGTACTCCAACGCCCGAACTTGGGTCGGCCGGGGACGTCGGAGCTCTCGCAATAAACGGCCACCAAACACTTGCATTCACTTGAGTGAAGGTTATATCTATCCGTCGAGCTCGGTATCGCATCCCTCCCTCAGAGAGACGGTTAACATAGCCTCGAGGACAAGAAGTGGTGAAGCGAACCTACCAAGTCCATCCCGAGCCGTCAAACACGCACCCTAGCCCGTCTACCGATGGAAAGCCATAGCAGGTTGCAAGCCCCCCAAAAAGGCGAACAGGCTCCAGTCCGCCGATGGGCATGGGTCCCAAAGGAGCTGGCGAGCGAGTCACGCGTTGCAGGGGACCACAGACGAGGCTTTCCAGGAATGTGGTTTACCCATGGGCCTGTCTGTCCACGCCATGGCAGCTTCCGTCCACTCTCTGTCCTCGCACGGGCTGGGATCCTACCCCCTCCATTGCCCCGTCGACGGCACAGGCAGCGAGCCAATCGACCCCGCCAAGCACTGCTGGAAGGCACTGGATGCGTCGCCCGCGGCCCAATCGGTTGGATAGCCACCATATGCGGGAAGACCACGTATTCGCGGCTCGGAATATATCGAGGGACCAGTTGAGGGCTCTGTGGGAGGCTCGCTCTGGCTGGCCACGCGGGTATAAGGTGCGGATGCCAGGCTCTGATCGGTGCTGACGAAGCCGTAGTATTATTTCTCGGACGAAGATGAATAGCCCTGCCGGCATTGTGGGCAGGGTCCGGGCCGATTGTTATCGAACTGGCAATCCATACACCTCCCAAAGAACGGCTCCTCTGCTTTTCGGTACTGTCCGTGGGCACATGAACAATGGTTGCGGAGCTCGCGCAGCGTGAGGTGACGATGCGGGCAGGCCTCTCCTCCCCCGCTGGATATCAAGGAGCCGGTCCCGTCGTTGCGCCATTGGCACTCCCACTCGTCTCTCGCCTCCGAGACCTGGCGACCAATAGGAAGGCATTGATCCCAGAGAGTCGAAACTGTGGAAGGTGGCGGCTGATGTGCACCGAACGCGTTGGACAGCGGATGGTCATCGGAGGATGCTGGCCAGTTTTGGTAAGAGCCGTGCGATTGTAGGACCAGCCCAAAGTCATGTTCTGCATCCCACCCGAGCGAGACTGTTGGTGGCGCCAAAGTCGCCGGGTTGTGGCCGACGCCGATGAGGTCCATCTCGAGATCCTGTGGCTTGGTAGGTTGCCAGCATTGGACTGGCAATGAATAAGCGGCGCTGGACATCGCTTGATGATTATAAGACGGGATCGTAGGGGGATTGGCCGGCGGGTCTTTCGAGGTCTGGTATTCCGTCTCAAACTTCGTCCAGTCGTGATGGGTGCACTATAATGAGTCTATTAGTTAGGTCGACAGCTTGCCGTCGGCACGCACAATTACCTTGACTCTCCGGCAACAGCACTTCTGGCAAGCGCCCAACTTGCGCATCAGTGCAGCTCTGGCCTTTGTACACTTGTCTAAAGGGCCATGCCGCATCGCCTTTCGCTTTTGCTTCCCCTGCTGAGTCCCGTCCGATATTTCCATATCCTTGAACCCGCGAGTGATCGACTTGCATGACGGAGGCCGGGGCATCGTAGCCGCCTGGGATGGGGCTAAAGACTGTGGAGGGTTGTTGTCATGGGTGGTTCCGCTGTCCAGACCGCCCTGAAGGTCAATTCGCTCCTTTAAATCCAGCTCTTCCTCGGCGTCTCTCATCTAATTGTAAAGCTCCTGGAGCTCCGGAGTTGGGCTCGGCCGATATGGCAAGAGATACGGCTCTCGAACTGAGACACGCTTGTGCTTTGGCATGACGTGGACGAGTGGCCGGGCCTGGGGCACCTGGTTCTGGTAAATATGAAGTGAATGTGCGTGTAAACTGCCGAAAAAGCTCAGAAAGGGCAGAGAGAAGGAGAATCATGAGGAGGAAGAGAAGTAAAAGTGCGAGGCAGGTCACAGGGCTTCGGATATGGCTACCTTGGTGCACGACAGCAGGCAAGGCTGCCCAACTACTACGGCCTACGTGGGGTGTACGAATAACGATCCCCACGATCAAGCCAACCCTCGCCGGCATCATTGAGGCTCCTTGAGCGAGAGTCGCATTGGCTAGGTAGGTCCTCTTATATCCAGGGTATTGTATACCATGTCAAACCATCTCGATTCGAAAATGGAGCTCTGTGGGCCGCAGGAGCCGATACCTCAAATGGACCGAGACAGGAGCGCGAGCTTAGGATGTAGCCTCACTCGAGGTGGCACACACTAGAAACATAATTTGAGGAGAGGGCGAGTTGGCCCAATGCCAGATCATGGGATCATGGGCGAGTTACCACGGAAGCAGTGTCTTTAGACTGGGGCCGGCCAGGGGTTGGACAGAGCATGAGAAGAGCAGGGCGGAAAAATCATAAACTCCTACGTCCGGTAGATGCGTCAGGTGGTACAAAAGAGATGCGCCCAACGACGCTTGCGCCCCAAAATAGGGGGATAGGTAGGTTGGTAGGTAGGTAATCTTAGTTCGGTTCATAAGGTCATGATTGTCGGTGATCGAAATTGGCTCTTTGGGCTTCACTAACAGTCTCAGCGAGAAGCAGTTTTATTCTGGCCAAGCAGCTGGAATGGCCAGCAGATGGATGGAAAGCTAGGTATCAGCCCATGAGGCATTTACGCAGATGCCACAGAGCGATAAAGTCACCCCGGTCGCCCCGTCGCAAGCAGGTCATGAGCTTCTCTGCTCCAGGGGCCACCGCCACCAACGGAAACGAAACCAGGGAATGTCATCTTTCTCCTGGCGGGCTCGTTTTTTCCAGCCCCGGGTGTCGCCGAACTGCTGCCCCCCCCTGAACGAGTGACGAGGCCCACCGTCGTATCAACAGGCAGGAAAGACTGAGGTGCCTGTCCAGCCGCATCGGCTTTCAGAGCCGCCTTACGGCCCCGCGTTGCCGGGTTCGGCAACTTCGACGGCCGATTCTGAGCCCCTTGCACCGCTGCCGATGCATCGCAGATGTCGATGGAATCAGGTTTGGGAACGGCAGGAGCGTGTGTCTGATCAAGATTCTGCTCCGAGTGCCTCGACGAGTGAGATTTGGCTTCAGCGGGACTTCCGATGCCCTGAACCGAACCTGATTCATCTGATCCTTCGTCTAAACAGCCGGGGGTTGTGGAGGCTGGCCGAGCGAGTTCCTGAGTCAGAAGTTTTGCCCGGGGTGGCTGGTGATCACCGGCATGGCAACTTCCATGAACAACGGGCTGTGGGCTCACCGCCCTGGTTTGGTCGTCATTTGACAATATGCCCACACCGGGTTCCGAAGTGGGTTTCCCAGCGGCCAAATTACATCGACTGGGAGCCAAGGGGAAGCCCTCCGAGGCAAGACCTGCAGCAGGAAGACCGAAGTGGAGTGTTCCCTTTCTTGGGTTATCTGTAACTGCTTTGCCCCCGTCTTTGGCTGCTGAGAGATCTTTGGCAATTGTGTGAGACGGATCAGAGCTTTCTTCAGAAGTCTCTTCCATACGAGGCTGACCTGCCCCTATCAATGCTGATCTCTCGGACCCGTTGGGCGCGCTGGCATCCCTCGGGACAAACCCGATGAGCTCCCTACTCTTGACACTCTTCCTCCCAAGCCTGATCAGGCGAGGGCCAGCCGGTACCGGGGCGACTGGCCCGGTGGCATTATCGTTATGGGGCAGGACAGGACCATCCTTCGGTCCATCAGTCGTACCGACATCGTCAATGTCTTCTTCGACAGAGTGGTGATATACCGTTTCTTCGCTGCGGCACGGGCGATTCTTCTCCTGTGGGGTCTCATCAGCCAGGGTTTCGGAGCATTGAGACGCTTCCTTCCTTCGCCGGTGCGATGTCTGGCCAAGTGAGGCGGCAAGGTGTGGAGGATGGTTCTGCCGGGAACGACCGGGTTGGATGGCTCCTTGGTCTTTCGATCTTGAAGTTGTCTGTTCAGAAACAAGAAGCAACCCTCGTTTTCGTTTAGATTTCAGACGCAATTCGGTTTTGGGGCCACCTGCATCTGTTTTATCCCTCTCTCCACCATCCATACCGTCTTCTTCATCTAAAATTTCGATGATCTCGGGTGAATGCTGTTCGATGGCTTGCCGAGATGGTATTGCTGAAGAGTCCCTTGCTTTCCTTTGTACCTCATTGACTAATTCGGTTCTCTCCTCGGGTGACGTCGGTCTACCAAGTTGCAGACCATTCTCACTGGCTTGAGCACCCTTTGTGGTCCTTGGCTGTGCTGTTCGGCGGGCGGGGGCAGCTGGATTCGGCATTTCTCGCAGAGGATATTGGTTCGAGGTGCGAGAGACAGCCCCTTGGTTAGAGTTTGATGGTGGATCCCGAATGGCTCGCGGCGTCGTCCCAAGACGAGATGCGCTCTTTGGTGCCAGGGCGTGCTGTGCGGCAGTCGTAATCTCGACTGACGACGATCGATGTCGACCAGCTACTCTGTCCGGAGGTTCGGGGGATCTTGGCCTATCGAGCCTAGGCAAGGCATTATCTGAACTCGAGTTGGGTGGACCAGGCAATCGCTGGTGTGTTTCTGCGGCTGGACGACGTAAAGGGGCAGAGCTCACTGGCGCCCCTGACAAGCTCAAAGTAGCACCAAACAAGCTCCTTGCATAACCCATTTTGCTAGGAGGCGTGTTGTCGCGTTTCCTTCGTTTTCCCGGTCGCTCTTCGTCATGCGGGTCGGAAGAACGGGGTGTTCTGTTCCTTTGCTCGAATGGCGAGCCGACAGGTACAGCTGCGCGGCCGTGATGACCTGTTGGCGTACCAATTAAATCTTTCAAGGGTCGATGTCGAAGCTGGAAATGGTCGGGCGGCGGTTGGAGTCGAGGATCGGGCCGGCGGACAAGCGAGGGTGCTGGTGTTCTAGATGCCGCAGCAGCATGACGCTGCTGCTTCTCCTGAAGCGGCTTGTCTATCAGCTCGGACAAATCCTGAGTCTGTCGCCCAACACAGTCTGAAATTTGGACAATGACACCACCCCGCTCCAGCTCCACCTCTTCGCCAGCACCAAGATCGCAGTCGTCTCGCCAGTGCGTGTCGCCAACGAAGTTGCCTCGATCGTCATAAACCATGATGCGTTTGTTGAATGTGTGGTATTTGAGTCTCCCGTCCTGCCATCTCTTCTGCTTTCGTCGCAGGTCGCGGGTGAAGAGGCACAGATATTCGAGCACTGGGGCAGTGCTGCCCGTGGTGCTCAGAGAAGTCGTCCCAGACATGGGCGGAGAGGATGTGACACTTGGCATCTTGCCAAGATAAATAGATCAACAGAACATAAGAATCTTCACAGCCAGTACGCTGGTGCACCCCGAGAATTGGTGGAGAGCAACTCTGAGCTCCTTTCTCGACGCGCTTTTGTGTCGCGACGTCGGCCATCAGCAAGGACGCGTGTGAGGATCGGTGTCAGCTGATTCATTAACTGAAGTGGGCAACCCCACCTAAGGTGCCTAAGCACGCTAAGGTACCTACCCACCCGCCACCCGCCGCCCAGCCTTCCAAGGCTCCATCCTTTAGCTGCATAATATAGGTTATTAGGTACCAACAGGTTCAAGAGAGCCCAGAAGGAACACCTACCCGGATTGGAAGGATGGGCATGATGGAGATGAGGGAGAGCGAATGACGCTTCTTGTTTGAGGCTGTGTTTGCTAGGTTCTGAGCAGCTGCCTCTTTAATTATGTAAATCCCCCCCTTACTTGCAGGTGGGAAGCCTGTTTCTGCCTGCCTGGGTACCTCTGGGACCATGGTTGTGCCCCTCATCCTGCAATGCTGTGCCGCAGATAAAAGTGGTAAAAGTTTACGGAGAAACCTCGTGTTGGTCGTCAACCTTCCTCTCTACTGCACGTATATATCCGGGCCCATGGCCAATTGACCACTTAGACTACGAATACCTCTGTACATGCTTCGAGACTCCCCACTGTAGTGCCTACTGCATACCACCAGCGATCTCGGACATCCGTGGAACGATTTCCATTCTGTGCGATCCTCGTCGCTAGAAGCTATTCGAGGAACCCAACTTTCCAACTTCCAACTTCGCATTCGATATCTGATACCTCGAGATGCAGTCTGTGCAAAGAAAGTTCGGTAAACTCTGGAACAAGGCCCCTGGAGATAATGCCAAAGTGTCGGTACTCTTGAACGACTACGAAGATGCCGATAAAGTGCTGGCCAAGGTGGGTGCTTCCAACTTGTCCTTGCCCCCCTCCAGCTGCTCGCATTGCTCGGGACTGACCTCTCAACGTCTTCGGTCTTTTCTAGATAATCGAGAGCAACACCGCTTGGCGCGAGTCGTGGTTCGCCCTCCTCAACTCCCAGTTGCAGGCCGTTGTCGAGTACGAGGCGCTTTACGACCCCATCGTGGGCGCGTCAGACGGACATGGACGTGAATCACTTCCCACCCCTGCGCTCCAATTGAGGCGGACGTTCAGGCTCCGAGAGGCATACGCGGAGCTGAAGACCGAACTCACAGAAGAGGTGGGCCAAATCGACGAGAGGATCCTCAAGCCCGCGACCGATGCCCGGGCCTGCATCCAGCCCATCCGCGCGACGATCAAGAAGAGGGAGAACAAGAGACTGGACTATGAGAAATGCCAAGCCAAGCTCACCAAGCTCCGTCAGAAGCCAAACAGGACGCCGAAAGAGGAAGCGTCCCTCGCCAAGACGGAGGACGAGCTGGGATGCCTGGCGGATGTAAGAACTCTCCAACCACCTGGCGCCCAAGGCACATGGCAGACTTTATTCGGCCGTGAGCTAATCTTTGAACAAGGAGTTCAGCATTGCAGACGCCCACCTACGGGAGACCCTGCCCCTGGTCATCACAGCGTGCTTCAGCCTGATACCGCCACTACTTGCGGCCCATGTGCTCATCCAGAACCGGCTGCTAGGGCTCTACTACACCACCCTGAACGCCTACTGCGATGAACTGGGCTTTCCCTCTCCGCCGCCCCCCATGAGGGAGGTGATAACGGAGTGGAACACCAGTTTCCAACCAGTCCACGGAGCTGTCGAGTCCCTCAGCTTCATCTCCCGCGGGAAGGGTCTCCACCAGCCTTCCATAAACGCGAGGAACGACCCCCAGGCTCGCAATCCGGCCTTCTCGCCCATGTCTCTAGCAGACGGCCCGCGTCGTTCGTCTTCAGGATTGATCCCCGGCGCCAGCAACGGCACGGCCCAACGACTGCTTCGAGTTCCGTCCGCCAACTCCCTTCCGCCGTCCCCCGCCCGGCCGGACCACCCGCCGCGGCCAAGCCGTAGTTTTACCGACCACCTGGCGCCCACGGACTTCACCACCGCCACCGTGCTCGGCCGGTCACCGGGCACCTCGCCCCATTCTCCCAACAGACTGCCGGCGGAATACCTCAGCGGCGGCAGCGGCGGCGTGCCCAGCCCCAGCGGCGGTTATCGCACCCCGTTGGGGTCCGACGTATCCCGCAACTCCTCCCAGCAGTCCCTGCTCAACGGGATCGCCGCCAAGAAGAAGGCGCCGCCGCCGCCCCCTCCGAAGCCGAAGCCGAAGCCGCCCATGCCCCCGCGGCCCGACGACTTCGTCGTGGCGCGGTACGCTTTCGCGGGCCAGGGGGAGGGCGACCTCTCGTTCCGCGAGGGCGAGCGCATCAGGGTCGTCAAGCGGACGGGCACCGACCAGGACTGGTGGGTCGGCGAGCTCGCCGGCGGCGCCAGGGGGAACTTCCCGGCCAACTACTGCCGGCCCGCTTGATCCTCCCTTCTTTCTTCGCATCGTGAGGTCGGACCTTGGAGGTTCGGTTGGGCCATCTGGATATGAGCTTCTGGCGTATTTGAGTGCCGCTGCGGCGACAACGGAGAGCGAATAATTTGGGTCGAAAGGAAGGGGGAAAACAAAATCAAAACCGGAGGGAGATCTGTCAGACCAAACAGCCGCATGACTAATCACCAAAACAAACCTGAGATCAGATATATCACGGGAGGTGATTCACTTCCGGGTACCGTTGATATGCTCCTTGTCGGTTGCGCCAGGACAAGGGTTGATAAAGAAGTTAAGTGGCATGGTATAGCAACCAACACAGGTCAGAGTGGTGTAATGGTCAAGTGCGATGCTGACCGTCGGACCTACGACAGCCACCTCTGGGTCATGTTCTGAAGGCAGGCGATCCTTACACCACTCATTTTTTTTCAAGTTTTTTCTTTTTGTTGGCAGTTGGGGATGAGGAATCAGCTGGACCTGCCTCTTTTTTTTATATGCGAATTCCTTGGGGATCTTAGCGGGGGGTTTCTTGGCTTGGAATACATGGTGTAAGGGCTGATATCCAGATAAACTATCCGTCGTACCTAGGTACTAATACTATTCGAGAAAAGCCCATCTCAGGGCAGTGATGATGTAGCCTGGCGAATCTAGCTTCCTCATCATGGTGTGCACACATTTATATATATACAGGGCCCTCGTAATGCAAGCCGGTCGAGAACGTTGTCGTCTATCTGAGAACTTATCGAATCTTTGGCCCTCATCAGTCTCGCTTCGCAGGCTCGGAGTGGTTGATGGGGGTGCCAGAACCAGGCAATAGTGTCGGGCTTACGGAGGACGAGCACGAAGACGAGGACAGAGTCACGTCACTTGTCTTTTGCTTCACTCAGCTTCTGCGGGCAACGCCCGCAGGTAAAAACTCTTCCAACTACCTAGTCAACTACTGATCCCGGCCGAGGTTGAATGGCCGAATGAGCAATCAGGGGAGCAAGGGAAAACACGATTCCACGTAACTGCTCCAAGCTCATTCACACAAACCCGCATTCCTCAGAATTCCAATACCATGACTTCCGCTTCTATGCCCTGAACCACGTCAAGCAAAATGTCGAGCAGAAAAAGGATGCTTGTAGCAAAAACAACGGGGTATCAATGAATATTACAAGATCGCGGTCGCTGATGTGAAGATGCATAAGACAATAAATCTTCCTGTGTAACGGATGTGCGGAGCGCCCCCTGTCGAGGGCCTCAATATCAGTCAGATATTGACGCCCCCAAACTCCCGTCACCCCAGCCCCGGCGGCACGGCGAAGGGGCAGAAACAGCCAGTTGAGCAGGCCGAATTGGTGATGATGATCGACGACAAAACCCAGCTAGCGAGGGCTTGCCCCGGAATAAGACAGGGTCAAGGTGACGACTCGAAGACTGCGCTCAGTGGCTCGGAACAGGGGAGATCCCGCCTTCTCGCACTCGTCGGCGGTTTCCTTCACCTCGGACGGACAGGGCGGCTGCCTCCTGCTCTTGACCAGTTTCCGTACCAGCGACGGCCACGCCCCTGGTCAAGTAGCTGTCACCGCCGAGGCCGCCTTCCAAATCGATCGGTGTGACCGGTCCAGGACTGCCAAGCGGCAATAGTCTGGGAGACAAGGGCTTGTGGCCATGCACCATTGACCCCCCGAGCTGTATGTTCTTCCACACTGTGCCATCCGGGATGGAGGTGCTCCCTGTCAGGCTCGAGCTGCCGAGTTTTGTGCTCCCCCCCAAGACTTCGCTTGCGGCCTGTGAGGCCTGTGCAATCATATCGCGCTGGTACTGTTGCAGGCGGCGTTTGACATCCGAGTCCATCCGCGAATGCGGAGAGTCTAATTTGTGCTTGGGCGTTTGGGAATCTGACTGGGTGGCATAGGGTGACCGCGCCGTGGCTGGTGGCCGGGAATGTTGGTTACCGGTGGTGTTGCGTTTCTCGTAATTCGAGGGGTAATATTTCCCCATCGGCAGGGGACTATCATGGGCACCAAGGGGGATGTACGAGGTGACGGGAGTATGGCCCTGAGGGTCCGATGCACGGATAGCCCCCATGGTTGGAAATCTCGCAGGTTCTGACATGGCAGAAACGGGGTCGGTGGCGCGGTCAGCTCGCTGCCTCGAGGATTCGTGTCCGTCGACCCTGGGGATCGATTGATGTTGGCTCTTCTTCGCGTCGGGGTGGAAAGGATGTGGCCGATGAACGCGAGATTTGGGATCTTCGTGAAGAGGGAAATAACCGCTAAGGAGAGTGATAGGCCGTGTCAGCAAAGACGCGTCGTGCCACACAATGACTGTAAAAGGGGGGAAGGAGGCACATACCCGGGAATATCCCCGCGAGCGGACAACGGTTCTGGTGGCGTGTAAACCGGGGCGGTGTTGATCTTGCGGATGGTGGGAAAGTCGATGGCGATTGGCATGCTACGGTTGGGCCTGGAGGGATTTGAAGATTGAGAGGCCTTTGCTGCTGCTTTTGTTTGGAAGGTTAGCGGTTTCCATCTCGAGTATTCCGAATGACATGAGAGGATGAAGATCGTGTGAGTCGCGGCGTGTTGTTCATTGGAGCGCAAGTCACAAGACAGGGTCCAAGGGTCCAGGTACGAACTACCTCTCTGCCGCTGTGGAGTGTGGAATGGAACGAGCCAAGCATGACGAGCGATGCAAGCCACAAAAAATAAACCTTAAATAATAAAAAAGCAATGTCACAGGATCAACACACCAAGGCAAATGGCCGTATTTCCCAGCAAGTGAAGCTCGAGTAACAGAAGACAGTGGAGTTGATATGGAGGGGCACATTAAATAGAGAGTTCTTTCACATACAGTTCGTGGGTGGGGCCGAGGTGGTACCCATCTGCGCAGCACCGAGACCTATCGATACGGGTGGTTTTTCGGTGCTAGGGGTGTTGCACGCGGACAGGACGAACTGGTCCTCAGAGTGGGAGGAGCTGGATGAGGTTGACGATATGTCGGACGAGTTGGAGAGCGTCCGCCGGGAGGTTCCTGGTCTTCGCCCGGCCGTCGAAAGGCACGAGGTCTTGAATGACCTCCCGAAGCTCGCCATCGTATTCGTGGTGTCGGAATCCTTGGCTGGTTGATCAAAGGACTCTAGACGATTCATGCGGCTGCGCCACTCCCCTGTCGGAAAGAAAAGGTCAGCGAGCTGCCAATAGACTGACGAGACTCTTCCGCCGGTGGCCCTGGCTGAGTTGTTTCTCGGATGGGAGCTATCAGGGCACAGGTGGAAAGGTCTTTGAAGGCCAGGAGCGGTAGTCGCTGTATTTGTCGACAAATAGCCAGGCAGCGAGTGCTTGCTCGCTCGGGGGCCAGCGTCGACACGCAAGAGACGGAGAGCGGACGGTGACTTGTGCAGCGGTGTAGCCTAGACAGCTTGGGATGCCTACCTTCAAGGAAGTGGAAGACCACACACTCGGAAATGACGTGTATCGGGTTTATATTTGTTGAAAGTCGGTATAAGCCAGGTCGATATTCTGCGGCGGTCGCCCTCTGAGGCTTGCAACGACGTCGAACAAGTCGAACTGTGCATCTAGAGCCACGAGGGTAGGGACAGGACGCCGACGTACGTTGGCCGGTAGTTGGACGGCGTGCTGCGCGATGCTCGTTGGTTATCCTATCGGCCCTCCTTCGCAAGTTAGGGACGTGGTTGGATAGGTACGGCTGGCTCGCCTCAACTTGGGCGTTCTCTGGCGTTCTCTAGGGCTTTACGGCGTCGCAGAGCCGGGTTCGAAGCAGCGCAGGAGAGAGAGGGTTGGTTCCTTTTTTTTTACGGAGCCGACGATCTTGAGCTGGGGAAGATCAGGCATGGATAACCCGGATGACAGCTGAGGTCCTTATTCGTGGTATCAGGGTCCCAGGTATAGGGGCGGGGGCCGGGGCAATGCTTGGGGCGGTGGGTAATGCGGCACGGTACACCTCGTAGTTGCCTCGCTCCTGCGGCTCAGATCAAGACCAGGAATGGAGCATACGACTACGGATCCGTACAGTAGCAGTTGACGTGTTTCCTTTTTTATAGCGAAAAGGAAGTGAGCCTGCGTTGGTATTTGTTTCACCATTAATAACTTACATGACCCAAATGACAGACGAGCCCAAGCGAGATCCCGCCCTCCCAGCTTGAACCGACCAACAAGGTGGTCGCCAAAATATCTACAAGTCAGATTTGAATGGTAACCCTGGTTAAACGCCATGTAAATAGGTGCCGGATGCACTGTACACACTTAGTATCCAATGTGGCTACCCGTAGGTGTGTGTGGGGTGTAGGTACGTAGAAAAAGGGGCGGAACGAAGCCATATCCCGTGTCTGTTAGGGTCCAGTATCCCCCTAGGTACTCTGTCTGGAACTTGGAAAGTCTAATAGCGAAGTAAGTACCCGCGGGACCCTTGTCAGGACGGCAAAGAACCGCCTCCCTATCTACCTCTGTCCTTGGTGAAGACCCGCGAACCAAGGTTGGCAACGTCGGTGGCGCACATGCGACCAATCCGCGCGATTGAGCCTTGCGAGGCCGGCGACATATTTTAAAACATCGGGCGGGCTTTGTTTGGGATCTCTAGCGCAATACATTAGCGTCCTACTTCCATTCCATCCCAAAGAAGTGAGTGCAAAATGTTGCCTATCCATCCTTGCTGCTTTATGGACTCGTAAGACCAGTAGGTGGTTACAGATGTGTACGTTTTACGGATACATACCTATCGTATTGGCTTGCTTGCCCAATCAAAAACCCCATCGCAGTAACGGCGATCGCGCTGATCTCCTTGGATTGTTTGTTGCTGATCCCTGCCAAGACCTTGCCGACTGCCGTCCATAACTCTGCCCTGCAGACTAAGCTGGGTCCCTACCTACATGCGTACGCCGCCAAGCGGGGGAAAGAATAATCAGTGCATGTGTTACCTCGCCCACTAACAATATTAAGTTGCCTTTACCAAGAAAATTGTTAGTACGTAGTGTAACGTATGCACCAGTTTTTCTTATCACCACTTGGCCGCACCGTACTAGCTTCCAGCGGTACCTACTCCGTAATTTCGAATTTCGAGAAACACCTCCACACAACTTGCCTACCTGGTTTCCCGTACTTGAATCGCACACGAGCGTTCAATATGTACTGTCGATCATTCATCCCGTTGCGGGTCAAACATTTTGCAGCCATTCACTGGGGGAGTCAAAAGAATGACGGGAGTCTTCAGCATGATATCCCTTTTTCGGGTCCCAGCATACACACCCCACTTTACTTTGCAGCAGGCTATGTATACCCGGTGGGGATGCCACTGCCCGGGTTTGCAAACCCAGTAGATACTATGACGTCACTTTCACCCCATGATGGGTCATTCTGCAGGGGTTCCTGGTCTGTAGGCAACCGAAGCCAAGGCAGAAAACTTGATTTCAGTTACTGCATATCAAAAACTATTAACTGCATTCCAGTCCGTTTCACATTTTCGTCCCCCGAAGCTTGAATTAATTATCTTGGTACGGCGTAGACTAATTGAGGTCGCGTCAGAAATACTCATCGCCCTCTGGCGCGGACCACTTTCGCTGGGTAAGGGGGCTCTCCAACCATGTCGTCGTATTCGGGTACCCACCAGAGTTTTAGACCAGCCAACTTCCATCCTCATCCAAGCTCCAAGCAAGGTGATATCAGTATCACATTTCCAGGCAGATTGAGCGAATCCCGATGCTCTTGGGAGTGGCTAAGTTTAAACATTATAATATGCATCCTGGACCTGCAAGGACCGAACATGACGACAGCTCATGCTCTTGGGTCGGATGAATCCAACAGGAAAGTGGTATTATGGTATCACAAAGGGTTCCCCCCGGGAAGAAAGTCACATGCGCATCGTCGCCACCCCGAGCCCCTATTCCCGCTCGCCCAGCCCGCCTCCCCTTGTCCATCAGTAAGGAGGAAGTTCCCAGCCGCTCCAGCTGCCGTTGTTCCCCTAAACCTTTCCGCGACCGGTGAATCTCGTGTGCCTCTCACGGTGGCGCCACCAGTAGGCGAAGGAGCCGAGGCCAGTGATCAGCCAGAGCAAGGCGCTGGCGAGGACAACCCATACGGCATTCTTGGTGCGTTGGCTATCCGTGTGGCCTTTCAGGACCTCCTATCCGGACGTCAGTTATGCCGACAAACGCGTTGCAAGTTGGGGGGAGGGGTTCTCACGCTTCTAACAAGGCCAAATAGGGCAATCCAAAGGATGAAAAGTATGGCATTCCAGATCCAGACGGCCGCGAATCGAATGATGAAGGGTATAAAATAGAGGAGGGCGGTCAGGGCAGAGAGGCCGCCGACAACCTCAGCGTAGATCTAAACAAGGCGCATCCGGGGTCAGCAATGAACTACTATGGCGCCGGGACGGATGATGGCTGCTCGTGTGCCGGGCATACATACCCACTTCCCATCGTGGTGTCCGCCTTCGGAGGATGCGCGATGGAGGTCCACCCCATAGAGGGCGCAGACCGTGACGGCGAGGATAAATTGGAAGAAGTGGAGGACGGAGAAGGCGAGATAGCTCGCCGCCATGCCAAACAAGCCCATATTGCAGCTGTTTTCAGTTCCTCCTGTCGGATGTGGGGGTGTTGAAGAAGCGAGCACAGCGTCTGATCGCTAGTGATGGTCGATTTGCCGACTTTCGGAACCGATATACTATGCGTATGATGCAGAATGAAGACGCGTGCCGACGACAGGCGTGGTCTGTGGCTATTTAGGTAAGGGTAATGGCGAGAAAGGCCTAGAAGATTGTCCACATAAAACACCACGGCAGCTTGCTTTTATCTGGCGTGAAAACGTCGCAGGGAGTAGGATGACGCAGTTGAGGTCTATGCCGCTGCGAGCTGGTATGCCATTGGCCAGGGGTGGCAGGGGTGCGACCTGGGCTGCCAGCGGCGCAAGAACTAATGTTGAAATTTATGTGCACATCAACTGGTCCGCTTTTGGTTGCCAGCGGCTACAGGTTTTGTAACCCCTCAAGGTCGGATGGACCCTTAGAGCGGCACAGATGTACTAGATCTGCAGCGAGGTACCTACTTAGCCACCAGTCGCCAACACAGAATATAGCAAAATGCCATAGTTCTGGCAACATTAAAAGGCCACTGCCAAATGCCCGCCCCACCAAATTATCGCTCGGCATTAAGTGGGCACTGTGATCCGGCCCGGCTTCAACCCTGTGCCTGAGGGCCAGAAAGGCACGCTCTTTTGGGCCACCCTCACGTGATGGGGGGAAATGGCTCTAGGGACCTTTATGCGTACCTATGCTTGATATCCTCCAACTCCCAGCACAGCCAGCGGCAGCATCCTTGCTGGAGCTGCAGTGATCTATGGATGGATGAGCTTGCCATCTTCCAGACGATTTTCCGGCAGGCATCACGGACATGCAGGCTTGCCCATTGGTGCCCTCGCCATCATTATCCGTCGCCGACGACACCTCGACCTTGGACGTGTCTCTGTAGATGACCAGCATCTCCTTGCCGGTTTACTGCTAGGCAGTTGCACCTCACCGTACTCCGCACTTTTGACTGGATGACTAGGCGGTGACGAGATGCTGCCAGCCAGCGTATCTTTCTCTGCAGCTACTGGCACCAACCTGCGTCCCTGAATGCAGGAAGCCGCAAATCTTGGTCACTTGAGCAACGCACCTTAAATGAGGAGGCTGCCTCATCGAACAGCATTCATTGTCTCAGATAGGTCTTTGAGCTAGCACCGATGGAAGCATCACGACTGGGCCGAAGTAGGAAGAACAAAGGTCCCAACTACCCCAGTATACAAATAACAAAAAGGTGATAGGTACCTAGCTTTCTAGACTGCAGGTGACGTTCCCAAGCTGCCCATTACGTCGCGACTTCTTTCCGCGAGGAGTACCGTCTCATTCCCACTCCAACGCTGCGAAGCATCTAGGTACACAGGAAGCAGATTCGCATCCGCCCATAGCAGTATTAATGGATATTGCACCCATCGTTCCCGAGGTCAGAACATGCAATACCTTCCCCTGGAACCCACACTCAAAAGATGTGACTCTTGTGACAAGACGGCGAGCAGAAACCAACCATCAACCAAAGGTCTCAGCGGAACCCAAGCTGCTGCACCCGGGCGCACCCCAGGGACGGCATAAGGATCCGGAGCATGGCTCGAGCTGCAGCCGGCTTCCGAGCTCTTGCTTACTTCCTCCTTCCGTTTGGTAATCGCCGACATGGTATCTGTCAGCGACATGTCGCCCGAGACCTCCACTGAGGAAGTGGCTGCCCTTACAGGACCTGGCCAGGGTCCCGGTGTGGACTCTGTGCCCAGGCTGATCTGGATGCCCAGTGCTAGCCAGTGGCTGCACAATTTTCCACTTCTTGGATGATTGAGAGATGAGCATGTGCTGCTCCCTACTTTGCACCACGTTCGAAGTTGTTGTTTTTCTCTCATCTCAATTTTCTACTTCAACACACCAAGAGACACTACCGCATAGAGGTGGTGGGCGGACGAGTTATGCTGTAGCTCTATTCACCTTGGCCGATGGATTTCGCCTTAAGGGGGTTCTCAGGATGCCTGTCGAGGCGCCTACAGGGCGGGCCTTCGTCAACTTCCAATTTACTCTTCAAACATATGTCTACTTTGCACCGATACCGTCGGAGACAAGTCGGAAAGTGGAAGTCTCGCGACTCCCTGGCATCACCACTTCCAATAGCATTCCAGGGCTCGATCTCAGCGACATGAAGGGCCAACAGAGACGTGAACGTGACACCATGAGTTGCTCCGCCCCTGAGAAATGGCTGAGTGTTACACTCTGGCCTCGCTGCTCTCGCCCTGCTCGCGATACTCTCTCGGCGCATTCCAGACATAAAAGCAGGCAGATGTCCCAGTGGTGATCGAGTGCAGACTGTCGAGCAACCAACAACATTCTCCCCCTGTCTCTATATCTTCTCCCACGAAGCATATCGCCAATGCCTAGCAAGGGTCATACATCATCTAGCTCCAAGAAGGGCAAAAAGGAGGACCGTAAACGCCATGGATCCTCCAAGGGGAAGAAGGAACCATCCCGGGGTAGAGGCAGCGGAGACGGGAGGGACAACAGCGGCGAGTCCAAGGCAAGCCAGGAGCCATCCCCGCCTAATCGCGGAGGTGAGGAAGCTTCTAACCCAGATCCCCAGGGTGACTATTTCGAATTATGGGAATGTGTAAGTCCAAGCCATTCACACAACCGGTAGTGGCTAAAGCTAACCCCGTCTTCAAGTGCTGCTGCGGCGAGAAAATGATGAATTACCTCCTTCAACCAGCCTGTCAGGGCATCAATTGTCAACATCAAAGATGTGAGAATTGCAAAACCGAGCGCCATCACAAAGCTCCGTCGAATTGACGAGAGCGTTCCTCTCTGCCGGGTGGGGGTCGAGTGTTGTCGGCCTTGGTTCTCTGGACCCCTCCTGATATCCTGCCTGCACCTTCGTGTTTTAGTTAGCTATCGGAAATACACTTTCTTTAGCTCTAGCTAACCCTGCCTGGGGCGATGCCTCGCTAATGTGCCCAATACTGACTCCGCTCGCTATGTGGCTTTTTCAACAAGCCTGTAATGCTCCTCTCCTCTTGTTACCCATGCCGGTCGACCTTCTCTCGGTGGCTAGCCCCCACTGTTTCGTATTTGCGTTGTCTGGGATGGTACTGGCCCTCCCAACCGAATCCTTGTCGAAAGGCCCCCTTCAGTCAGTGAATTTAGTCATTGTTTTGTTCATACTGACTCCCCAGGCTGGTAGACTTCCAGGCGCAAGGCAAGGCGCCAGGAAAAGGAGGCCTATTGCTCAACGACCCGTAACTTCTTGGCAGTTTGCGTCAAATTTTGACAGTCATTCCTAGGCCAGGGACTGGCTTAAACATGAGCACCAGGGTGAGCTCTCTGTTTATACACCTAGGTTTGGGGCGAAATGTCTGGTTGGTTTTATGACTAGGTAGGCTATGCCACAAGTTAACGGGTACGTTAAGACACGACGTAGTTGCCTGTGAATATCCATGCTCAGACGCACTTACGGGGTATGTTATTGGTGCTTGGCCCTAGGACGCGAGGCGTTCTTGTGGGGTTGGGAGAGGCTTCGCAAGTTGAGGCGATCAGTGTCAACGCAGCTAGTGGTCGAGAAGGTGAACCCAGAGGCAAAGTATGGGAAGAAAAAGTATTCGTCCTTTCATTTCTTGCCCTGCGCCGCCCAGTATTCCACACTAGGTAGGCGAGTAAGGCAGCCTAGCCGGGCGTACCTTCCATAAAATGCCCCGTTTCTCGTTTGAGGCCTTAGCTAAACTGTCTATTTGCACACCGCGCAGTATCCGCGCGTGGGTGGAAGGGGGAGTGACTCAAGATGGGATGTATCGGGTGACGTAGCTTGAGGCTCTTCGGGGCGAGGTGGGGGATCTCGCCCTCCCCCCTCCTCTTCCCCCCAGTTCACATGCATCTAAACGACCCCTAGCCACACATAGGGCCACCAATTAAAGGCGATTCGCCCGCCACATGCTCCGCGAATATGTCTACCTAGCAAGGTACAAGCCAATTACAATACATTGGCATTAGGGTTGGGCAATCCGTGTCTTTGGGTAGCACAGGCTTGAGGTCGTGGAAGAAAGGCACATTGGCAAACCGGACAGACAGGCTTCGTACTTTTTCCATCCCCAGTTGCGGCTCCTTTGCGCGTCACAGCCCAGCCCGAAGACAAGAAGAAAAAAAAATGGCTGATCCGGCCGAGGGCCCACCTCTCCCCTCCCCGCCTTTCGTGCCTGTGCCGGGGATTCCCAACCTGAGGGACATAGGAGGTCTTCCGATCGCCGGCCGGCCGGGGAAGGTGATCCGCCGAGGGCTGGTCTACCGCTCCTCGGAGCCGTCCAACGTCACCGACGAGGGGGTGTCGGTCCTCAACTCGCTCGGCGTCACCCACGTCTACGACCTGCGCTCGGCTATCGAGATACAGAGGACCAGCCAGCACGAGGGGTGGCACCCCCGGGAGTGGCCCGGCGCCGAGCGCGTGTTCGTGCCCGTCTTCCTCGACCTGGACTACAGCCCCGAAGCCCTGGCCCTGCGCTTCGGGGACTATGCCAGCCGGTCCGGCGAGGTGTGTTTGTTTCCCCCCCATCCCCCTTCCCCGCAACTGCGCGGCTGCTGAAGCCCAGGGGGGTCTAGGGCTTCGTCAAGGCCTACGGCACCATCATGAACGCGGCCGCGGCCGAGGGCCACCCGTACAAGCCCTTCGCCACGATACTCGGGCACCTCGCGGCGGCGGACCCGTCGCCGGTGCTGATCCACTGCACGGCGGGCAAGGACCGGACGGGGGTCATCTGCGCGCTGATCCTGAGCCTGTGCGGCGTCGAGGACGAGGCCGTCGCCCACGAGTACAGCCTGACCGAGCTGGGCCTCCGCTGCCGGAGGGAGGAGCTCGTCGCGCACGTGCTCAGGCATGAGGCCCTCCGCGGGGACAGGGAGGCCGCCGAGCGGATGGTCGGGGCGAGGTGAGTTTTTATTTTATTTTTTGCCATCCCGGAAGGGGCATGATCGCAGCAGCAGGAGTTCCCCGGCTCTTTGGTGGTTTTCGTGACTGACAAAAAGGACGCCCCAATCCACAGGAAGGAGAACATGCTGGCCACGCTAGCTATGATTCAGGAGAAGTACGGATCCGTGGAGAGATACCTGGTCGAGCACTGTCGACTCAGCCCTTCCGCTGTTGAACAGATTCGTCAAAACCTCATCGTCGACGCTGACGAGGCCACGCCGCCGCTTGACTGGGAGAGCCATGCTAAGCTTGTGACATATGGCTAACGGAGGAGGAAATGGGCAAAGTCTCGGTTGTACATAGAAGACAGTGAGAGTATACATAATATATACACCCTGGGATACTGCCGAAGTATCTGTCCTCGGGTATCCAGTTCCGAAAACCATCATACATGCGTGCCTGATGTTACAAAAGTTTGTGGCCAGCCTCAAATAACGGCGGCCCAAGATGGGTGATATGCCCTCATCGTACATGTACAACGTCGCTCATTCGACCTTGGTGGGAATCTTAACCTCTCCTCTCCTCCGATCATAGTAAGGCACACCGTATCTCCAGCCCGTGCCCTTCCTCGACCTTCCATCCTTGCCCGCATCATCGACGTTGATGTCTTCGAATCTGAACTCGAACCTCCCCGAGTCCACCTTCGTCTTCCTCTTCTCTTCCTTCTCCCTCCTCCACTGCTCCCGCTGCGCCAAAGCGCTCTCGCTCGCCATGGCAGACTGCACAAACAGCTTCCTAGCCTCTCCCTGTTTCTTCCCTCCCAAGATGTCCTTCTCGAGCTGGATTAGCTCCGGGTGAGGCACCCGCTTGTCGGCGGGTAGCATCTTGTCGCCAAACGCCTTGGCGGCGTCCTCTCGCGTGAAGTGGCGCGATTCCGAGGTTGGCAGGAACAGCTGTTGCATGGTCAAGCTATGGACGTGGATCTCGTTGATGGGCTCATGTGATGAGCCTTCCTGGACGTTCGCCTGCGGAAGCATACCCATGACGGCCCGGGCATACGGCAATGCCAATGACTTGCCCTAGAAATTTCCGTGACGTGTCAGCAAAGGATCCCACCAGTCAAGGGACGAAAATGCATATAGTATGTATAGAATGGCTTGGATCAGAGAGGCTCGCAAAGCTAAATTGTGTAACCATGTATGTTGTCTTCAAGACTAATCGAATTGTTGAATGTGTTCATCATGCAAGCCGGTATGGTGTTCGTGATACGAAAGAGAGAGACTGACGAGCCGTCACTTACCTGAGATATCCACGACTTCTCCACCTCCTTGAGCCGTACGACAGCGGCGACCCGCCTCATGTCAACGCCGAACGTAGCTGAGACGGTCTTGATTGCTTCGCCGTTCACGATGACCCTCCGCCATATCTCCTCTCTTGATTCCTCAGACAGCACCGACTGGCTCCGGAAAGATGCGTTCTCGGGGAAGGGTTGGTCCTTTCCTCCTAGATAGTTGGGTCTCCCACGGTTCGTCTTATATTGTGACCCGAACCGCTTCATCCACGAACGCATTGAGCGCTGGTGCCTTGTGACCTCACAGCAGGCCGTTGTGGAGAAAGAATTGGCCTGCTGCGTTGCGTGCCACGGCCGACTCGGAGCTCTCAGGCTCTGACATGATGCGGCCTCGATGGCGGCGCCAATTGACTGGCTGGGTATCCTAGGAGGCATGGTTGGAATGTGCATTGCCGAACCCGTCAAGAGGTCAACCACAACCTGGCGAATATTTTTTCATGACCACCAGGCGGAACTCTGGATGGTTGATTGTTTTGTGTTTGGTATGGCTGGCAAATTTTGGTTCGAGCGGATTTGAGCTCTCTTGGGGCAAACTCTGACGCGGAACTATATCTCCCCGTTCCGACCTCCAACCACCGGGCCGTTAGGTAGGTAGGTAGGTTGCCCCTGGCTAGGGTTAGGGTCAACGACTGTCTCTTGCAAACACTTGTAAACACAACATTCTGGAATTACAGGCTATACAATCCCCTTTTAACGCCATTCCGCCCTGCTATGCAACCAATAACTACCAATCCAAAGCCTTGTGACCCAATCCCAGCTCTGCCAGTTGTTTTATGACGGGCTCGAGAAATCCCTTTTCAGTCCTCAGCCGAGTAGCCTGCTTGGCCCTCGTGTAGAAAACCGGGCAGTCCTTGCTATCACACGGAACATGGTCCACGGGCGCAAAGGCCGCGCAGGTCTGGCAGACCTTGACGACGTCGGCGAACTTCCTCTCCTCTGCGTTTATCCGTGTCTGTAACTGCACCATCGAGAGGGACGCGTCACGCCTGCAGCGTGAGCAGACGGTACCCTCGCCCTTCATCTTCACTCCACATACGACGCACGATGCCGACTTGAGGTACGCCTCAAGAGTCTTCTTTGCCCCGAGCGACGATGCGTCGACTCGCCGGATCCGCTGGACCTTGGGCATCTCGTCGTACCACTGACGGACGTTGGCACCGACGAGATTGAAGATGCGCTCGAGCGGCGGGATTAGGTTCTTGGAGATGTAGTATTCGGCGTCCAGCGTGCAGTGGGGGTTGTCAAGGAGATCCTCTGGCGCGACGCAACGATCGATCAGTCGCGCTCCGGGCGCACCGGTGATCACCACGTACGGCACCCGCTCGCCATACTGCGGCTCAGCCCGGGCGTCCTCGAGCATGCGCTTAGTACTGATGAGCGCTCCTGGCGGCGGTGGACCCTTGTCGCTGTAGGACCCCAGCCGGACTTCCTTGGCAAAGCAGAAGTCTTGTATGGAGACTGCCCCTCGCATTATCTTGCCGCACTGCGCCTGGAAGTAGGCCTTTACCTGGCTGAGGTCGGCCGACTCGAAGAGGATCTTGAGAGCCTTTTCCTCGATCTTCTGTTCCGCCGGCGTGCCGTCACGACGGACAGTCTCGATGCCTTTCGCGTCAAATTCCGGCGTGACCTGGTCCTTGCTCTCATATTTATACCCAACGTACCGCTTCTTCGCAAGCAAGACACATGGGTGGTATACCTTCTCGAACTTCAGTTTGATCGGGCGCGGGTTCATGTTGGTGATTTCCTTGGCAATCTCATTGCCGATCTCGAAGGCCTGATCCCTGGTCCTTCCCTTCAGGTAGACGAACAGGCTGTCGGTGTCCCCGTAGACAACCTCAGCACCCCACCGGTCTACCGAATGGATGAAGGCTATGGCTCTTTCCAGAGTCTCGCGCCCGGTCTGCACGATGCTGTCGGCGATCTCCGAGCACGGCATCCGGCCGGAGAAAGAAGCCGACGTGTAGCCGTACGTGACGTTCGCGAGTAGTTTGAGTGCCAACTGCCTGTTGTTGAGCAGCTGTTGCAACATCCTGTCGTCCTTGTCCTGCTTCATGCCGCTCTTGACCATGACTCTCGTCTCAAGAATTTCAGCAAGCATCTTGGCGAGAAGTGATTTCCGGATCTCCGGCTTGACGTACATCATCCCGTTCGGCGCGATATTAATATGGTCTTTCAGGAGCTGGAGCAGACCCCGATGTCTCTTGTACTCGGTGAATCCCATTTTGTTCATCCCGCGCCAGTTGACAATTCGCCCGAGGAAGGTCGAGTAGCAGTAATTGTACGCAATCATGACGCTGGGATACAGGCTCTGAAAGTCAAGAACCAGGAGAGGGCTGCTATAGAAGGCGCTCTGGGGCTCCATGACAAGTGGCAGGCATTCCAAAGCATTTTGACCGCCCACCTGCTTCCGGCTCGGCGATACCAGAAGGAAGTTCTCGGGCTTCGCAATCCGGAACATGATCGACTCGACCTTAAACTGGGACCCTCGAGAGAATACTGAGAAGAAGTCCACACCGAGCAAGCGTGCCTGCTCACTGGTTCGAGGAATGAGCTCGTTCGTCTCCAAAATCTCAATATCAAGACGGGTCCTGATGAGATAATAGCTAAGAACCTTTCCTAGATCTCGGTCGCGGCCGCTGTTGTACCAGTCGGTCAATGTCCTCCACGAGTAGTGAGGGATGCGGCGATGGAGCAAGTGCCAGGCCACGTTCTCCATGGTGTATTGAAGCAGGTTCAGCTCTCCTCGCATTGCTCTCCAAATGTTGATCATGTGTCTTCCCGTGACTCGGATCGTCGAAGTTGTATTGAACCCCCATCGATCAGCGTCCTTGCCAAACCTGCCGTGGGATTGTGACTTCATGCGAGAGAATTCGTCGCATAGGTTATAGTCGTACTTCAACCGAGCTCGCTCGATCAGGTACCCCCACGAGCCGCCATGGACCTCGTACCCTGTAAGGATGTCTGGGTCATGGCTTCGCACGATCTCCACCATCCTCACCATCAAGTCTAATTCGGAGGTTTCTTCCAGGACACCAGCAGGAACCTGACGGCGGACCCTTTGCGCCAAATCGCCATCTTCCGAAAGAACAATGACGCCTGATCGAGTGCTGTCCAGTGTTTGGGTGGCATGGCCGAAGTCCTCATCTGACTTAACGCACCAAAAGATGCACTGAACCTCGTCTTCTTCTGGATTTGGCACCAACTTTCCTCTGGTATTGACATGCAGTTCCAAGCTCATCGTGCTCATGTATTGCGCTTCATGTTGCACACTTGAGTATTTTTTCTTCTGCGAGTATTTGAAGCCGTGTTTGTTCCGAGGCGTTGGCCCATCAATCTGGGACTGGAAAGACTTGGCTTCTTGGGTAGCTCGCGGGGTTTTCTTGAGACTTTGGCCCGTTGTTCGGGCCTTCTGCTTTTTCTGCCACCAGTCGTCGACTTCCTCGAATGAGGGCGGCGGCTCTGCAATTTCCCAACTCTTCAAAGCGCATTGCCTGCGCTGTCTGGCAGTCTCGATATCTGCCCTCGCCCGGTCGGCGCCAAGGTCTGACTTCATTCCGGCTGTCGTAGGAGACTTGCCCGTGGCATCGAACTCAGGGAGATACGGTACCGTATTGCTCTCAAGCCGGAACTCTCGTCCTGCATACTCTCTTGTGCGAGGAGGGACATCCTTCTCGCTGCTATAGAAAGCGTCCTGGTAAATAACGTCGGGGAGGCCATTCTCTTGCAGCGTTGACACTACCTCCGCTGCCGCTGGCGGAGCAATGCCGATCGAAAACATGATTCTGGTGGAATCCCATCTAAGCCTGGTAGGCGCAGACCCGTCTGAGATCGCAGAATGTGGGAACGAGACTGACTGCAAGCTCCAAGGCTCTTTCGAAGCAGAGCTTCCAGGCAACCAACTCTCCGAATCTCTCAGGAACGTGTCAAAGGTAACGTGCTTCTTAGGCACACTGGCTTCGCTTCGTTGAGAGCTGGCACTGGCCTGTTGGCTAAGACGCAGCCTGGTACTCGGGTCATCTGGGTCTTTAACAACAGCAAATTTGAGAGTCTGGGCACCGAGTCGTTTCGCGGAATCCTCCTTTGCAGGCGGTCCTCTTTGCTGCGACGAAGAAGTTTTGGCTTTGTCGTCATCGAGCTTCGATTCCACAGGTCGTTGCATCGTATCGGTTTCGTGTCGTTTAGAGGCGAGGGCCAACCCGTCAAGTTCGCCAGGCTGGCCTAACCTGGATCTTTTGGCCCCTTTGCGTTCCTCCGAAGTCTCCCGAAGTCGTTTGTGGGATGTCTTCGCGACCCTCTTTGGTTGGCTGGTCCGGGGATGTTTACTAATGAGGCCCTCTGCCTCGGCCTCAGCGACAAGTTCGGGGCAGATAGGGATATGGGGCGGATATCCTAAACGGGTGCCACTTGAGTTGATTCCAAGCGTGAGCCCATTTACTGCTCGTCGTGCTCCATCGCGCGAAACGGAGACGCTTTCAGAGCTCGAGATAAACCCCCTCGACGAATCGGAGCGCTTGTGGTCGCCAGAGATTTTAGGCTTCCCCCCCTTGTCCTTGAGCACTGCTCCTTTAACGACCCCAATAACGAGATCCTCGTCAGAATCCTCAGGAAATAGGCCGCCGTCTTCTTGGTCACTGTCGAACTCGAGGATCCCCTTTTCGTCAACAATGATACTGCTGCTCACGTCCTGATCGGCTTCTGGGTATTGCTCCGCCAGGTCGAGGGCTGGCAACAGGTTCTCGGGGAACAGGTCCTCGACTGACTGTAGGACTGTCTTTACCACGGCGGCCATCGGCTCTTGTTGAACAAATGTTTCGTACGTCAAGGTTGCCCCATCCATTGCGTGCTCCTCCTCAGCGATTAAGCCCTGAACTTCTTCTCTGTACTCATCCTCGTGGATCCAGCCGGCAGGCTGAGAGTCCCGAGGACCAATAGACATTGATATCAGTGCCTCGGGCGGGAATGGGCTGCTTCCAGGGGCTGGATTGGGCATCAGTCGCTTTCGGCGTTTCGTCTCATCTTTCCACAATCCAGCCATGCTGTGGACGAGCTTCATGTCTGTGGGTAGAGGGTGAACCCTTTCCACGAAGTCATGGTGGAGAGGTCTCTCCTTGACGGCATTCCTGTTCAAGATATCTTGAACGCAGATATCCACCTCGATGGGGCAGTGGCTGGCGCGAGGAAGGGCGGGGTCATCCGTAATGCTGCTCGGCGAAATGGACTGGCTATGCCAGGTGTGAAATGGATCTTCGCCTTCCTCATGGTTTGGCACAGGTGCTCTGAACGACACCCTGCATGCCTCAATATAGGTACAGCCGTACAGGTTGTAATCGGTCATGAACTGCAGGAGGTACTGCAGATGCGCCTCGTATGGTTGGAACTTCCGACTCATGATCAGTCCCTGCTGAAGAAGGTCTGCCAGTCGTGTCATGACGATCGGGTTGAGCATGTAGATCTTGAGGAAGAATCGGTAACCAACATGAAAGCCATAGAATGGAATGGCCTTCACCAGGGTTATACGCGCGACAAATTTAGGATGCTCTCTATAGACATCTCGCCGATAGCTAACAGCAAGGGCACGGTCAATTGACAGATGAAGTTGATAGATGTAAGCTACGACTAGAACGGAGGAGTTTGGCAGTTAGCCACGTCCTACTCTGTATACAAGGACTGGTCCTCACCTTGATCCGAAGCCAGCTTGCCTGTGTACTCGATGAAGAGATACGGAAAGGCTCCGTGGATATGGGCACACACTTTCTGGCCCGTCTCGGTGGACCCAAAGACCCGAATAACGGGGACCTTTGGTTCCTTGGATATCTGGGAAGCGCGAACATCGTTGTGAAGTATGGGATCATGTTTGGTCGGCGTCGCCTGGTAGTGGTCGATGCAATTCAGTCTCACACGAAAGACCTCCTCCATAACAGGCAGTGGATGGCCCCGCGGTCAAAGACTGACAGAGAGAAGCAAAATACATCCTAAGGAGAAGCAAGGGGTATAGAAAGATACTCTGTCCTGGCGAACAGCAACAGGTCTTTGCAAGTTTTCCGCTTTTCCCGTCTACCCAACGCCGTTGTCTGCATGTTAGCCAGAGCGCGTCGACAGACGCGCGCGGAAGGCGTTGGCACGTGCTAGCAGCGCCAAAGCCCCTATTGTTACATATTGCTCTCTATCTATAATCGTTAGATGCATATATACATTTGCTCAAAGCGAATTTAACCAGCCTTTGCTCCGATGATATCGCAGGCGGGCTTGATTCACTTACAGACTATAACGCGAGGTTTGCGCCGTCAGTCTTGGGTTACCAGCAAATCCAGAAACCCTGGTTACCGTCATATCACCATCTACTACGCCATTTTCATCTCTCAGCCAATTCTCCGCTTCCGACAATGCCGCCACCACCACGAAGGCCGGACATGAAAGCGTCCGGCGCAGCTTCTAAGGAGGAGAACGTCTACATTCCATCCTTTATTAGCAAGCGGCCTTTCTACGCCGGCGAAGAGACTGGTGACCAAACAGACTATCTCGAACATCAGCGGTTACAGAAGACCAAGGAAGACCAGTCGAAATGGTACGATCGGGGCAAGAAGACGGGGCCGGCTGCTACCAAGTATCGCAAAGGCGCCTGCGAGAACTGCGGCGCCATGACACACAAGACGAAGGACTGCCTGAGCCGGCCGCGGGCAAAAGGCGCACGGTGGACGGGCAAGGACATCCAGGCGGACGAGGTCGTCCAGGACGTGCGGCTCGGGTGGGACGCCAAGCGCGATCGATGGAACGGCTACGATCCCAAGGAATACCAGGTCGTCGTGGAAGAGTACAACCAGATGGAGGACCTGCGGAAGCAGATGCTCGCCAAGGACGCCGCCGAGAAAGGCGAGGAGCTGGAGGAGGGTGACAAGTACGCTGAGGAATCGGACATGAGCCGACATCAACCCACATCCACACGGCAGCTTAGGATACGAGAAGACACAGCAAAGTACCTCTTGAACCTAGATCTCGATTCCGCAAAATACGACCCCAAGACAAGAACTATTGTGGACGGCGGCGCATCAGTAGACAAGGCGGCAGCCCTGTTTGCCGAGGAAGGCTTCCTGCGTGGCTCGGGCGACGCGGCCGAGTTTGAGAGCGCGCAGCGCTATGCATGGGAGGCACAGGAGATGACTGGCAACACGAACCAGCATCTACAGGCCAACCCGACGGCTGGCGAGTTCTACCGCAAGAAGGAGAAAGAGGAGACGGAGAGGATGCGAGCGGAAAGAGAGAAGCTCCTTCGTGAGAAGTATGGCGGTGACCAGGATGCAATGCCTGCTGCCCTGAAAGCCATGGCCGTGACCGAGTCTGAGCAGTTCGTCGAGTATGACGAAGCGGGTCTCATCAAGGGCGCTCCAAAGGCGGCGGCCAGGTCAAAATACGACGAAGATGTCTTCATCAACAACCACACCTCGGTCTGGGGTAGCTGGTGGACCGACTTCAAGTGGGGGTATGCCTGCTGCCACTCCTTCATCAAGAACAGTTACTGTACCGGAGAGGAAGGGAAGAAGGCATGGAAAGAAGCCGAGCGACAGAGGACTGGTGTCGGCTTGATCGAAGACAAGCCCTCTGGGGACGACGGCCAAGAGGCTGATGGCGAGAAGCCCGACGACGCTGCTGCAGAAGCGTCTCCGCCCAAGGCCACCGCGCAGAAACGGACGAGGGAGGAGATGATGGGCGGAGTCTCAGAGGCAGAACTTGACGAATACAGGAGGAAGAAGACTGCAGCCAACGATCCAATGGCGAAGTTTCTGGGTACCGACGAACTTGTACATTAGTTAGACAGAAGAACGACAGCCACCCTGACAATTGAGATACCAGTTCAACAGCTGTAGCAGGACTGTATGTATAATCGCAACACGTTGACTCTCTCGTTGTTCTATGTCTATGTCAACCTGGGTCTAATTTGCAAGCCTACGATTGGTGATACAGTAGAGGAGCGGTGTTGCACCTCGGGTCACTCAAAAAATACCACATATCAGGAGGAAGTTAACCTTCAGTTCAGGGCAGGCAATGTGCTTTTCTGCGATGCATTCATTGTGATTTCCACCTATCAACTAACGCCAGGAAGCAACGATGAAAGATGATAAGTTTTCCTAGCCCCAACCATGCCTTCCAAACCCTGCTCATGAGATGGCTGATGCATTTACTCATCCTCCTCCTCCTCACCATCCTCGTCGTTCTTCTCAGCGGCCTTGGCCTTCTTCCTCCTGACACGACCGGGGCGGCCACCGCCGAAGGGCGAGGTCAGGGCGAAGTCAATGTGCTTCTGCGAGTCGAGGCGGACAATGAACGAAGGGACGTTGACGATCTGCTTGCCGACGCGGATGTGGCGCTGACGGATGAGGACACGCGCGTGGTGGATCGACTTGGCGAGGCCGAGCTTGTAAACGCAGGTCTGCAGGCGGCGCTCCAAGAAGTCCTCGACCTTGAGGGCAAGGACGTAATCGAGCTTCATGCGGGACTCGTCAAGGACACCGACACGGACCAGACGGCGAATGAGGGCGTTGCCTTCGAAGAGGCGCTTGGGGTCCTTCTCATCAAGAGTAAGAAGCTGACTGTAGGAGGGGATTAGATACTGGTCCATTAGGGTTACCGAGGGGAATGGTGCGTGGCTTACCGGGCAGCACGTCGGATCTTGGAAAGAGTGAGCTGGACACGCCAGACCTCACGCTTGTTTCTCAAGCCATACTCGCCGACGAGCTTCAATTCTCCGTCCCTGTATTGCCGAAGGTTAGTCTAAGATCACAATCGACATAAGCAGAGACAAGCTCATGCTCAGTGGCCGGTGATTAAGAGGCGACGGCTCCAGAAAGGAGCCGGTTTGCCTCAGCAGCCGCTGGTAGAAATGAACAAACTGACAATCGAGCGGCCTCGAAGGGGCGTCTTGGGACCTTTGCGGTCTTCGAGTACGAGAGAGGCGCCATCGCTGCTGCTCGAAATTTCCGGTGGTGTTGAGGAGTTCAAGGATTGAAAGTTTTGGCGGTTTCTGCGAGAGTCTCAAAATTGAGTGTGGTTTCCCTGTGGCCCGTGACCCGTGCCCTAACGCCCGGCCACTCGGAGTCCCGCGCTAGACCCTATATGGCTTAGTCGATTTTGGAGCCGACCCCGAAAAGTCGAATTTCAATGGCACACAATCCAATTTCTGAACGTCGCAAGAAGGTGGACTCTAACAACATCACGAACCAGAACCGCATCAAACCTCCAACTCAGGCAAGATGGGTCACCCGGCAGGTCTTCGTTCTGGCACTCGCTATGCCTTCTCTCGGAAGTTCCGGGAGAAGGGTATGATCAGGCTGTCTACCTACCTGAAGCAGTACAAGTAAGCCAGCACAGCCGGTGAAGAAGACTCTCGTCGCCCAAAGGCTAATAAACATTTGCAGGGTCGGCGACATCGTTGACATCAAGACAAACGGTGCTGTTCAGAAGGGGTAAGTCATTTTACACTCGTTAGGGTTGCCTGGTCATGAGTTGCCTGTGGGATGTGATTGAGGAAGGGGCATTTTGGAGGATTCCCTCTGCCCCCTCCTCGAGGCCAACAACTTCTTTTGACCCGGACACTGACCTCGGATGGCCAACAGCATGCCGCACAAGGTCTACCACGGCAAGACCGGTGTCGTTTACAACGTCACCAAGAGCGCGGTCGGTATCATCATCTACAAGAAAGTAAAGCACCGATACATCGAGAAGCGCCTCAACATCCGGATCGACCACGTCTCGCCCTCGCGGTCACGAGAGGACTTCCTGCGCCGAGTCAAGACGAACGCCGAGTTGAAGAAGAAGGCCAAGGCGGAGGGCAAGCCGGTTCAGCTCAAGAGACAACCCGCCATGCCGAGAGATGCCCGGACGGTCTCGATGGCGGATAACCGCCCCGAGTCTGTTGCGCCAATCCCGTACGAGACAACGATCTAAGGAGGCGCGACTTGTTTGGGGGGTCGGGTTTGCTTGATTTGTCTTTGCATGGGGTTCATCGCGTACGGAATGGGAAGATTTCACTTCCGGAAATGGCATGGGTGCAGGCATTGCTCATAGGAAACCCGAATACCAATGGCATCCAAGGAATGGATCGAGCTCGTGACAAGCCCTGCGCCGTGATTCCAATCTCGTCGGATATCTCTTGCTTCCTCTGCCTCCGAGCTCATGAGACACAATGACACCGGACAACGGGACTGAACCGGATCGGATATGGCGTCGCCCATCCTACTTCTGGTTTCTCTGTGTACTGCCCAAGAATCCGTTCAACTTGTTACAGTTACTCTCCCAGAGAGCGTTCTGGTTGAGGACAGTTCCGGGGATCATAGCATACTCGTCAAAAGTCCTTTTTTTTCAGCCACGTCTAGTAGCACCGAGGCAGCGTGTGATGCTTGATTCCTAACCGTCGCTGCTTATCAACAACTAAACCGATAAAGTAAAAGTAGGTCCCGTCTCCAGCGTTCTGCGATCTATGCTTTCAATATCGGCTGTAGAGGGTAGGCAACCCCTTCTTGGGTTGTGTTGGGGCTGGCAGAATCTCCTCGTCTCCTCTGGAAATCAAAGAAATCTACGAAGGGGATGGATGCTCATGTGTAACATGCTGCTCGTTTCTGATAACTAAAATATTATATCCGTCTAGTGACCTACCCTATCGTGCTATCCCATCCATGATCCAATGCGACCGTTTAGGGGCCGGTACACGTGTATGTTCGTGTTCATCCATAGTGGCGTCCCTGCTGTGGCGAGTGACAGCTACTGTACAGTGTACACTGTACTGGGATGTACACCTACGTAGGGCGTAGGGACATCAAAGTTTAGCCCCAACCAAGAAAACGTGGGGAAGTTGCTGTGGCTGACGCCATTGAACCTTGAAGCCAGCATCCCATCATCCTCCAAGCTCCAGATGCATCTGTGGGCGGCTCTCGAACCATTCCAGAATCCTGATGGTCCTGGATTTATTGCCATGTAAATCCATGCCATCTCACACCTGCCTCCTGTTGAATAGGAAGCAAGAGACTCGTCTCTCTGTTTCTCGGCACCAACGGAAGCTATGGGCTGGACTGCATTCCTACTGACTTACCTCTTCGGAGGGATCACTTTTCTCCCCTTAGTTGTCGCTGCTATTCTCCTCCACGCCTACTTCACTTTCCCATACCGTGATGATGCCGATAAGCTTCCGACAAGCACAGAATCCGACGATGTTGTTCAGCCTGGCGACGACGTCACCGCCTTGAAGGCCACAAAGAAGGACGATGCAAAGCTCCGGACAAACCACAAGGACTATGAGGTTGCTGCTGGATATTTTGCCGTCTGTCGTGAATACACTCCCATGGGCATCAATGCAAAACCCATCGAACGTGCAACTCCTGTGGGTTCTGCAACGGTTGCTGCCCCCAGCCCGAGTGTCTACCAGACTATGTACCGAAGTATTTTCGACAGGAAGCAGCCTCCTAGCCCTCTTGAAAATAGTAATGGCATGAACCAACGCCCGAAGAAAGCCGGGAATGTGTTCTACGTGGTCTTGAGGTAAGTTGCCGGCATTTCTTGCTGGGTCTCAAACAAGTCTAGAATCTCAAGCTGACTCCTTTTAGGCACGGGCATCTGATGCTCTTCGACGATGACGAACAGCTTGAGGTCCGACACGTCGTATCGTTGGCACACCACGACATCAGCATATACTCAGGGGGAGACAAGACGCCCGAGGGTGAACTTTTTATCAAACGAAATGCGATCTGCCTCACTCGACGTTCCGATGGGTTGGAGCTTGGCCCGGATAGCCAGTTGTCGAAGCCCTTCTACTTATTCTCGGAGAATTGTTCTACGAAAGAGGACTTCTACTTCGCCCTGTTGAGGAACCAGGAGCAAACCTTTGCTGCTGAAAACAAAACCGCCTCACCGCTCAACTTTGAAGTCGAGCACATCATCTCCTTGGTTCAGAAGTTGCACTATTCGGAGGAGCATCTCCAGACAAGGTGGCTTAACGCCATGATCGGGAGGCTCTTCCTGAGCGTTTACAAAACCAAGGATGTGGAGACTTTCATCAAGGAGAAGCTTACCAAGAAGATATCTCGAGTGAAGCGCCCTTCCTTCCTCTCAAATATCGAGATCAAGAGTATTGACACGGGGGACTCGGCACCGTACATTACCAATCCTCGGCTAAAGGACCTTACCGTTGCAGGAGAGTGTGGGATCGAGGCTGATTTTCGATACACTGGAAACTTCAGGCTTGAGGTGGCCACCACAGCACGGATCGACCTGGGATCACGCTTCAAAGCGCGTGAAGTGAATCTCGTTCTCGCCGTCGTTGTGAGGAAGCTTGAGGGTCATGCCCTTCTCAAGATCAAGCCTCCGCCAAGCAATCGCGTTTGGTTCTCATTCCAGCAAATGCCCAAGATAGAGATGACGATAGAACCAATCGTCAGTTCGCGACAGATTACCTACACACTCATACTCCGTCAAATCGAAAACCGCATCAAGGAGGTCATTGCGGAGACGCTGGTCCTTCCTTTCTGGGACGACACCCCCTTCTTTAAGACGGACCACAAGCAGTGGAGAGGAGGCATATTTGCCGGGGATGACGCGGTAGAGTCATCATTCGACCCGGAAACCTCGCTTGCCCAGATGGGAGACATCGAAGATGTGGAGCGACTCGAGGAGGGAGCTTCACCCGACCCCGGTCAGCCGGCGATAGAGAAGAGTCACAGCCTACCAGTTGTCGAAGCAACCTCGGCTATAAACAGGGACTTGGGCGGAAGAGTGACTAACAAGGGGCCGGCCAAGACAGTGGCCTCCTCTTCGGCTTCAACAACCGGGGTGGATGTTAAGAGGAACGAGACACCACCCATGATGCCACGACCAGGGCGATCGGGTTCCTTGGTCCATCCCCCGACGCCGATCGTTGGCACGGATGCCACCCATGCCGATATTTTCAAGCCTTCGTCCTCTCCACCTGACCAGAGTCCTGCGGCAACGGCTTTCGCACACATCTCCAAGTCACAAGCCAGCTCTCCAGCCCATGCACCTGCTACGAATCCTTTCAAGCCATATATTACATCCAAGTCCTCGAGCCACTCATCAATGTCTTCCCGGGAAGCGACTGATACAGAGAAGGACGGGAAAGACGGGAAGGATAAGGATTCTGACAAGGATAAGGATTCAGAGAAGGATCCCGAAAATCCACCCAAACCACGGCGTGACACAGCCTCTTCGGCAGGAAGTTACGATGAAAGCCGCTCATCCCTGTCGACTAAAGGGTCCATTCGCAGCCAGATGACAAGAGGATTGTTCAGCCGCAGGGACACCCCGACCAACTCATCGTCTGGACCACCATCTCCAGGCACCCTTGACCAGCAGAAACGGACAGCCCTAGCCGCAGTTACCAATGCGGCTGTATCCGCTAAGAGATGGGGCCTGAGTGCCTTACAAAGACACCAGGAAGGTGACAACAGTGGTTCATCATCCGCGGACAAGGGGCCGTCGTCGCCGCTAGACCTCAATCAGCCAATGGGAAGAGGCCGTCCACTCCCGCCTCCAGGGGTACCGCTGCCCATGCCTGACAGGAAGACAAAGACGGCACCGATCCCGGTGCCTCCACGCAAGCCTGTGCCTCCGCCGATTCTGCCCGGGCGATCTTCTACCGAGGCCCACGCCGGACGTCGTCCCGTGCCCCCTCCGCCGCTTCCCAAGCGCAGGCAGGTGCCCGTCGAGGCGGGACAAGGAGACGGCGACGGGATTTTCGTCGTTGAGGCGCCGGCGGACTCGGAGCCCACCACGCCGCTGAGTGGGTGCAGTCAGTCGTCCTACGTACAGCCGTGGGTCGACGATGGCGAGATCGGGGATGGAGATGTGGACGCTCCGTCCGGCAAGGAGAACGGGATGCCCCCGGCGGTGGCGTCGGCGGATTTTAATCCCGTGTCACATGCCCCGCCTTCGCCACCAAGGAAGCAAATAGAGCATGAGCTAGACGAGGGAGAGGACGAGGGCTTCTCGGCGTGGACGGAGGACACAGAGCCGACAGACTCTGTGGCGGGTATGCTTGCTCCCAGTGAGGTAATTGCTCGCTAACCGATGCGGCGTATGTTTATTTGTTCTTCCAACCGAGGGTCTATTTTCATTATGAAAGGTTTGACAGGCGAGGCAGCTCGGTATCGAGAGGAATCAGAACTCCCGGGTTAGGAGTCATGGCGCACCACGCGTTGGCGTCCGGTATAGGAAGGCGTGCTTTATTTCAGGAACAACATACATACAATACCCATTTCTCCACGCGACGCTGATAGCAATGGAATAGATGGATGCCGACGCTAAGGTCTTGGCCCTGCCATGCAACTCGCTTCTTGGTGCATGGAACCCCAAGGAGGTACATACCTTATCTTATTGCAACCTTGACTCGCCCGAACTTCGTTACGAGTTAATCCCATATTTCAACCTCGAGATCCCAGTACAGAGGCATATTTGACAGTTCTGTAGTACTCAACCTCGCCAACGGGGAGGGATGCCTTGGACCTGAGTGACATTGCCGGGGATACCAGTTTCTCATACTTATTTACGACACCCGGAGGGCCGGGTCATCTGGGGTTTGGCACACTACATACAGTCCATCTGTTCGTTCGTCGGTGTGCATTGGCCAAGAGCCCGTCTGACCGAAAGACGGCGCTTTCCGAGCTTGCTCAAGAGAGATCAAAGCATAATGCCCCATCTCGAGCAGATATTGAGGCGGCTATTCTTTCGAGATGAAGTTATATGACCTTTTCTGACTGTCGATAGCAAATCTTGATTGCCATTAACGATCGCTCAAACACAGGCTAAAAGGTGCCTGAACACCGATGGCCAGTGGCAACCCCCCCCTTTTTGAGGGCGGAGGCACCGAAGCTTCGATCGCAGTGGGTGGCTTGATTCCGAAGAAACGGGTGAGCGTGCTCATTGGCCGCATCGTCTGTTTCCGATCTGGCTCATTCGAGCCTCCCAGCCCCTTGTGCGACCCCAGGTTCATCATTGGGTAGATTGAGGCTATATCAGGCTTTGCAAGGTTTCCAGCTCCCGCCCTAAAATGTCATGATCGACAACCAGCGGCGCCACATTGTGCATATGCTCGGTTTTTGCTCAGGATCCTCCTGCCCTTCAACCGGGTATTTGCCCGTTGAACGCCCATATTCAGTAGCACAAGGCTAGGTAGGCAGAAGGCAGAATACGAAGCGGGCCGGTCGCGTTCACGCTCGCGTTCACTTGCTTTACCTTGACAACGCGTTCGACCTCTCTGGACTACGCCGCTCGATTTAATTCCCGGGAGAAGGCAAGGCCGGCCATACGTTTTCCATCCCATGTACCTCCCACATATTGCCTGATGCTAAAGAGAGCTTCCCCCACAACGCCACATTTCCCACAGCACTCCAGCCCAGCTGCGACTCGGGAGCATGCATGGAGCTGAAGCCGTGCTGCAGGGCTGTCAAGACGCTAACTCAGGGACAGTCGCTGGGGGGAGCCGCAGTGGCGTCGGCAGGAATATATTGAGCTTAGCAGCTCGGGTAAGAGGTTCATTCGTCCTGACAGGGGGCGGAAGGTATCCGAGGGAACGAACCGCGATGACGCGCATGAACAATCACGACGGCCGGAGGACGACAGGTCTCGGCCGGCGAAGCGGAGGGAGGAGAGTTCCAAAAATAAAGGGCCTAGAAGATGCCAATACTAGATCACCGACACCCGAAATGCAGCATATGCCTTGGGAGGTTGGGTCAGGGCTCGGACACCCAGGAGAAATGGAGGCAACGTTCCCGGGCACTAATCTCGAGGCTCGCCTGCCTCTCCGGGCTATAGGCTTCTTTCCACGGATTAAACAGGCAGTTATAGACACAAATTTCTTCCACCCTGGAATCTCCTACCCTATTGGCCTTTGTATAGCTGTGTGGTAGGATATCAACGGTGATAATGGAGGGTATCATCGGAGACTCTAAATATACCGTTTGGTCAAGAGCGGAATGTAGATAGAGTTGGGCATATCAAATCCTGGGGGAACAAGAACCGGCGGGGAAGAAAGAGGAAGAAGGAAGATCTGGACCCTCATGTTCGAGTATATATATCAAGCCTGGTATCCTGCGTGGATGTAGTAGGTTCAGGGACGATCAGCCACTCTTTTAGTCTAACACCGAGAACCCAACCAAGATCGAAGCAGGAATAGCCGACTGACCCCTTCCTCCCATTCACTCGAAAAGGTAAGATCGTCCTTGATATCAGAGGCCTGGCAAGGTGCTAACCAGTTGGGCACAGGGTAAAAGCAAAGCAGCAGACATGAAGTTCCTCGCAACTGCCGTGCTGGTGGGCCTCACGCTGGCGGAAACGCTCGACGTGGCGTGCCCGACCGTCACCAAGTCGATCCTCAACCCAGACTGCAACAAGGCATGCGGCTCGGCCGACTGTTCGTTTGTGACGACGGTGCAGAACCCATGCGGCTGCCCCACCGCCGTGCCAACGGCGACTCTCCTCGCGCCCTGCGAGGCCGGCTGCCCATACGACGGGTGCCGCGTCGAGTACCGGAGCGTGCAGCAGACGTGCTCCACGACGACGCAGCAGACCCGCAGGTAAGCCTTCCATCTCCACCCCATGTCCAACTCTGAAGGAGATTTCCCCCAAGTTCGTCCCGCTAATAAAACATGGCCGGTCAGGCCGCGCCCGACAAGCAGCACCTCGTCGACGACGTCCTCCCAGGCGACGGTCGTCACCGGGATCACGACCCTGCCGCCGAAGGTGACGCCCACGACGGCCGCCTGCCCCACGGTGACGGTGCACTCCCAGCCGGCCGACTGCGCGCCCCTGCGGTGCCCGGTGCCGACCTGCTACGTGCGGGAGACCATGGAGGTGCCCTGCGGCTGTGACCCCCAGACTTTGCTGTACGTGGAGGGCTGCTCGACCGTGTGCGACGAGGGCTGCGCGACGCGGACGTCTACCGTCAGCCAGGAATGTGCGAGGGCAACTGGCCTTCAATAGGCGAGATGGAGAGTCGTCGGTGGTGAGGGGGTGGAAAAAGGGGGAAGCATTTGATGATTAATTGTACTGTACTTAATTTCTGTGTCGCTGTCGGGGATGCTCCAATCAGACCCCTGCTGCTGGGGCCGATTTTGTTGCGCCTCAACACGAAGTCAACTGTTCTTGATAAATACACCATCATTGATTGCCCTTTCCATTCTCCTTTCCTTTCCTTTCCTAGTTCAATTGCATTGTATTCCAATCGATGGGGAAATTTTCGCACACCATCAGCTCCGACACGCAACGCGTCGTCCGCGTCGGCAATTGGGCCGAGGAATCTCACGGAAACGAGGTAAAGCGAGGCCACCCTTTCTCAAGCTGCAGCCAGCGTATACATAGTAGGGATCTCCAGTCATAAAGATATGTCAGAAGGTGTAATAGACACACAAATCTGCTGAGTAGTATGGTTGGTCACCTCGAACGCACCTCGAACATTGACATAGATAAGACATCACTTCATTGAGCCACGACTTTCCCCTATCCTTCAAAGATATACTGCCATGGCCATCCTGACTTCCTTCACCCGCCGTCACTTGCCGCTCCGGCCACGCGTCAAAACAGAGACTACGAAATTCCCACGTGAGCCAGGACCAGCAAGAACCGACGCCATCATCCTCAGGTCCTTTGCGCAGTGTAGAAGAGGATCGTCCATCCCGGACTACAGAGACCAAGCCAGTGGAGCCGCCCCCTTCTTCCAAGTCCCGAGCTACTTCTGCTGCCAGAGTATTTCCCTCTTCTGGCTTTCAACTCATCGATAAGTCAGTGAGGCTCGAGGAAGAGGCATTCCAATGGTACTCTCCCAAGAAGTTCTATGCCCCCCGCATCGGTGAGGTCTTCCAAGAAACGTATCAAGTGATCACCAAGCTCGGCTACGGCGCTGCCTCTACCACGTGGCTATGTCGCGATCTTCGGTAAGCAGCTCACTGTCACGTTAGCTGTTGAGCTATTAGTGACCAGATTTCCTGCAGAAAGCACCGTTATGTCACTGTGAAGATATACGCTCTGGGCCAGAAACAAACCAAGAGGGAGCTCGCTGCTTTGATGCACATCAACGCCGTCATCACAGCCTCTCCTCGCATCAGGCATATCGGCACGGCCAATATTCGGATACTGGTTGACCAGTTTAAGATTGCGGGCCCGAGACCGCCTCGGGGAAACCTGTGTCTTGTCTACAAGCCACTGGCGATGTCGCTGGCTGAGATGAGGAAGACAGGATTTGGCGGCCGACTTCCCATCGATGTGGTAAAGAGCATCGTCTTCTACCTCCTGCGAGCCCTTGACTTCCTTCACCGTAAAGCAAATCTTGTTCATGCAGGTGAATTTTATCCATAGCTCATCCACGTTGCTAAACTAAACGGGGGTAAATAGACATACAAGAGGACAACATCTTGCTCTCACTCGAGGATGAGGCGGAGCTGCGAGAGGTCGAGGAAGGGGAAATGAGCGATCCTAGCCCACGAAAGTTGTACAAGGACCGCACCATCTACTCTTCCAGGCTGCTTGAGCTATCTGCGGGAGTGCCAGTTCTTTGCGACTTCGGCGAGGCCCGCTTTGGACGAGAGTCATACGGGGAACACGTGCTACCGGATCTTTACCGCGCTCCAGAAATATTACTGCGTATCGAGTGGGACGAAAAGATAGACATACGGACATTGGGGCTTGTAGTAAGCATCCAGAGATCGGACTTGTCTCACGTGGCCGCTAACATCGAGTGTCTCCCCAGATATGGACCATGGTGGAGGGGACGAACCTATTCACTAACAATAGGGGAGGCCGGTGGAAGTCTGCTCTGCCTCACATGGCCCGCATGATCAGTCTCTTAGGGCCACCGCCACAGGACTTGTTAGATATCACGCCTGTTACAAAGGCCTACTTTGACAGGGACGGTATGCGTCTCTCCTGGACCCCGGTGCATCTAGTTGCTAATCATCATCACGTAGGGCGGCTCAAGAAAGGCCACGAGATAGCACAGACGTCGCTAGAGGAGGAGGCAACTGCTCTCGAGGGTGTCGAGAAGGCGGAATTCTTACGCTTCGTCAGGCGCTTGTTGCAATGGGAGCCGTCAAAGCGGCCCTCGGCCCGTGAGCTACTTAAATACTCGTGGCTGACACCACCAACAAACTTGGAGGCTCGTGAATCGTTGTCTACCTATCTACCTAGTCTCGTTAGTCTGCTAGGCACAATGCAATGCATCTCCAAGGCCGGTAGTGGAAGGTACCGAGTAGCCCAAGAAAGCGTTATGTTGCTAGATCTCAATTCATGTTAAAATAAAGTGTAGGTTGGAGGGAAATTCCCCACCAAAGTTTGGCAGGGATGTAGGTAGTTCAGCTTGTTGTACACCGTAAGTAGGCCTCGTGACATCACTAGCTTGCGGGCCCCTTGCCGGGATGCATCACGGCGGGGTCCGGCCGGTCTGGCCACAGCAGTTTCACGGGTAGCAACTTCCCCAGAGAAACACACCGACTTACCATCTTCAAATAAATGTTATACCAGTTCCGGAAAACGGGAACGTGAAGAGACGCCCCCGAGAGCTTCATCTGCAGTAACCAGCTCTTGTTTTACAATACCAGCAGCCCCCGTCCGCACACAATGACCAGCCGTTACCGCGTTGAATGTAAGTCAAGGGATAGCTGGCGAGCTATGAGGTGGTCAGTCACAGTGCCTAACTCTCGACCCAGATGCGCTCAAAACCCACAGGAGGGATCAATTCATAGGTACTACCCTTCAATTGAGAGCTGACCTGGTGGTCCTTCCAGATTTACATGCATGTTTGCGTGCTGATAATGCTCCTCAGAGTGGGTCAAGGGACTACTCGCGGTGCCGTTCGTGCTCTACTCGCAGCCAACCGGTGTCTTCGACGGCCAGGGAACCAGTCTCGTCAAGGCCAAGGAAGAGGCCCACCGGCGGTACAGTGAGATTCTTCGGGACGTCGAGTTTATGATCGATGACTACAGTGAGTGTCCCTTTCCCCCAGGTGACCCTTGGGTCTTGTAGTCTTGTAAGCTTACCGAGACATCCCCTTTTTACAGTCACGCACCAGAAGGATGACAATCCCTTCCCCTCCAAGCTCAAGCTCCTTGTGCCCAGCATTGGGAATTTCTTCACCCGGCTTCCCCTCGAAGCGGCGTTCAAGTATCAGGACCGGAAGAGATACATTTCCTCCCGGCGCTTCGTCTCCCCCTCTTTCAACGATGTCCGCCTGATCCTCAACTCGGCACAGATCATGGCTGTCACAACATACGGGACACTGCAGCTAGCAACCTTTGACGGAGATGTGACTCTTTACGATGACGGCGAGAGCCTGGAACCCACCAGTCCCGTGATTCCCCGTTTGATAGGTCAGTCAACCAGTCAGCCATCGTTCTGGCTCCCGCACAACTCCCTTTCTCCCCACCACCCTCCCCCCTGCCTGCAATACCCGAGCTCCTCTATACCAACACTCCTACAGATCTCCTCCGCAAGAACGTAAAGGTAGGCATAGTGACGGCCGCCGGCTACACCACGGCGGAGCGGTACTACTCTCGCCTGCACGGGCTCCTCGACGCCATCGCGCTGTCGGCGGAGCTCTCGCCGTCGCAGAAGCAGAACCTAATCATCATGGGCGGCGAGGCCAACTTCCTGTTCGAGTTCAGCGCGGGGTCGCCGCACCTCCTCGAGCCCGTGGACCGGTCCCGCTGGCTCACGCCCGAGATGGCGGCGTGGTCCGACTCGGACATCGCGGCGCTGCTCGACGTGGCCGAGGCGGCGCTGCGCGACTGCGTCCGCACCCTCAACCTCCCCGCGACGGTGATGCGCAAGGACCGCGCCGTGGGCATCGTCCCGACGGGCGGGCCCGACGTGCGCATCCCGCGCGAGTCGCTCGAGGAGACGGTCCTCGTGGTGCAGAAGATCCTCGAGGTCGGCGCCGCCGCCGCGGGGAGGCGCGTGCCCTTCTGCGCCTTCAACGGCGGCCGCGACGTCTTCGTCGACATTGGCGACAAGAGCTGGGGCGTCGCCGTGTGCCAGCGCTGGTTCGGCGGCGTCGCCGCCGCCGACACCCTGCACGTCGGGGACCAGTTCCTCAGCGCGGGGGCGAACGACTTCCGCGCCAGGAGCGTCGGGACCACCGCCTGGATCGCGAGCCCCGCCGAGACGGTCGAGCTGCTTGATGAGTTGGCTGATCTCATGGGGAAGAAGCTGTCGTGAGGGGGGCGGTCCTGGTTCATTTTTGGGTGAGAAGGGCGGGGTTGCTGTCGGCGCTCTCCATGTAGGCCTTCTCCATGTAGGCCTTGGAGCCTAACTTGGTTGGTTGGTTCATCATGGGATACACCCAGATTCCGGTGATTTTTGGACGAGATGGAAGAATGGCGTATGGACTTGTCGCATCTAACAGCTCACCATAATCACTGAGCACGGAATAGCATGAACTTGCCAGCCCCTTAGCTGGAAAAAATGCACAGCTGAGGCCGAGCGGCAGTACCATTTAATGTTTCTTTCATTCCCTCGGGCTGTTCATCGTCGCCCGACTAGCAGCTTCAGCCACCTGCTCCTAATCAAGATAATTTCTCTCATCTGCAACAGGGTCTAACTCCTCCTGCGAGAGGGATATCTCAAGTAAGGCACTATATCAGATATATCAGATACTGCCAGCCCATCTCTTTTGCTTTTGCGTGCCAGAAAACGGACCCGGGCCCGATCTAAGTCCATATCTTTGCTATGCATAATCACGCTTTCCAAACACCCGCTCAACTGAAGAAACAGGCATGTAAAATAATAAAAAGGAGTAAAAAGGGCGCCGGGGGGGGGGGGGGGGGGGGGGGGGCGGACGGCGAATACAGGTCGAGGGAGGTTCTTTGTTATTTGTTTAAATAGGTATTGCAAGGACGAAGGAGAGACGGCGGATGGGGT